TTGGTGGTTCATTCATTGCAGTATTGGTATATGTTGATGATTTGATGATTGCAAGCAATGATGACATTGTTGTTGAGAAATTAAAAGCCTTATTGAAGTCTGAATTCAAGATCAAGGATCTAGGGCCAGCAAGGTTCTTTCTTGGTTTGGAAATTGCAAGGTCATCTCAAGGAATCTCTGTATGTCAGAGAAAATATGCTCAGAATCTACTTGAAGATGCAGGTCTTTCAGGATGCAAACCGAGTTCTGTACCTATGGATCCTAGTGTTCATCTTACTAAAGACATGGGAAATCCTCTCCCAAATGCAACATCTTACAGGGAGCTTATTGGAAGACTTTTGTATCTCTGCATCACTCGTCCTGATATAACTTTTGCAGTACATCAGTTAAGCCAATTTCTATCAGCTCCATCAGATGTTCATCTTCAGGCAGCTCACAAAGTCTTGAGATATATCAAGGCCAATCCAGGACAAGGTTTGATGTACTCAGCTAACTCTGAACTTTGTTTAAATGGCTTTGCGGATGCTGACTGGGGTACTTGCAAGGATTCTAGACGCTCTGTTACTGGTTTCTGCATATATCTTGGAGATTCATTGATTTCTTGGAAGAGTAAGAAACAATCAGTTGTAAGCAGAAGCAGCACTGAATCTGAATACAGGAGTCTAGCTCAAGCTACATGTGAGATCATTTGGCTACAACAGTTGCTTAAAGACTTGCACATTACAGTTACTTGTCCTGCAAAACTGTTCTGTGACAATAAATCTGCTCTGCATTTGGCTACAAATCCGGTCTTCCATGAGCGTACCAAACACATAGAGATTGATTGCCATACAGTGCGTGATCAGATAAAGGCAGGGAACTTGAAGACTATGCACGTTCCCACGGGTAATCAACTTGCAGACATTCTGACCAAGCCTCTTCATCCAGGTCCATTCCATAATCTCCTCAAAAGAATGTCCTTGTCAAGTCTTTATCTTCCGAACCAGACACTTAGAAGCTAAAGACTTGAGGGGGGTGTATTGAGATCATGGTTTGATGCCGGTTATCTGCGGTTTAATCGGGTTCATAGTCTTGGTTTAATGTCGTTGGTTTATTGTATATATAAGCTTAAGTACACATTTAATGCTTAATTAGATTGTAACAAACATTTTGGATGATTGAATAAGATTCTGTTAAACCTCTCCGATCTTTCTTTTCTTCCGTTTCACCGGAGTTTCACCGGAGTTAATATGGTATCAGAGCAAAGGTTCAACTTTCTCGAAAGTGGGCTACCATCCGTGGATGTCCAGTCCCACAAACTTCACGCTTCAGATGTCCAGTCCTGAGCGTGAGGGGGGTGTGTTAGAGTCCCACATCGGAAAGAAATAAAATCCTTGGGCAATATATATAGTATGAGGCAAACCTCCTCCCTTGAGCTAGCTTTTGGGTGTTGAGTTAGGCCCATTACTAATAGTTACTCGTTGTGATAAGTTCAATGCATCCGAGAATATACTAACAAAAGTTCTAATCTGCATCATAATATTTATGTGTTTGGTCTTTAGTCATTTGACAAATCACCTGTTAGCTTTCATATTATATAGTTCAATATTTTCTTACGAAAACAAGTTTTGCCCTAATTATCCTTCAATAGTACGAATAGCGTGTTGGTTAGTTGTGAACTTGTAACAATATGCAAGTTGCAGTTATATTAAAATGAGTAAACATTACTCACAAATTAGTATCAATTGTTTTATGTAACAATATAAAAGACTGTTTTTGGTAATGACAATCTAGTTTAAAATATAGGTGATTATAAATAATGATAATATGTTGGCCAAATGATTTTAAATTTTTTTGGTCAAGATTAAAACCAAAGAAATAAGTAATTTCGAAAAAATTTGTACGTATTTTTCTTTTTTTAAATTGATGATGAAATAACACAAAACTATTTCAGTTTTTAGTTTCATATGAAAATATCAGATTAGTGTAATTTTTTTTTTATCCGAAACAGAATTGTTTTTCTTGTTCCTCTTTTTTTTGCAAAAAATTAGTATCCATAACCATAATTATTAATTCACTGATTGTATGATTAACCCCATATTTAAAAACAGAATTGTCACTCTTTTCGGAAAATCTAAAAAAAAGGATGAAAAGTCAATGTCTTTTACCAGATCCACCAAACTCTCTCTACAACTAATCTCAACCGTCCATCTCACTCCCGCCTTTATCTATTTAACCTCACCATCCTCTGTTTCCTCCTTCATCACACAGATCCACAGATCAAGAAACTATTCAAAATTCAGCAAAAATGGCTTTGCTTGTTGAGAAAACATCAAGTGGCCGTGAATACAAGGTCAAAGACATGTCTCAGGCCGACTTCGGCCGGCTCGAAATCGAGCTAGCCGAAGTCGAAATGCCTGGACTTGTCTCTTGCCGTACTGAATTCGGACCATCTCAGCCACTAAAAGGAGCAAGAATCACCGGATCACTCCACATGACGATTCAAACCGCTGTTTTGATCGAAACGTTAACCGCTCTCGGCGCTGAAGTCAGATGGTGTTCTTGCAACATCTTCTCAACTCAAGATCACGCCGCGGCAGCGATTGCTCGTGATTCCGCCGCGGTGTTCGCTTGGAAAGGTGAGACTCTTCAAGAATATTGGTGGTGTACGGAGAGAGCTCTTGATTGGGGTCCTGGTGGTGGTCCTGACCTTATCGTTGACGACGGTGGTGATGCTACACTGTTGATCCATGAGGGTGTTAAAGCTGAAGAGATCTTTGAGAAGACTGGTACGTTCCCTGACCCGACGTCTACCGATAATCCCGAGTTTCAGATCGTGTTGGCGATTATCAGAGACGGTCTTCAAGTTGATCCCAAGAAGTACCATAAGATGAAGGAGAGATTGGTTGGTGTTTCTGAAGAGACTACTACTGGTGTTAAGAGGCTTTATCAGATGCAGGAGACTGGAACTCTCTTGTTCCCTGCCATTAACGTCAATGACTCTGTCACCAAGAGCAAGGTAATGGATCAATATATCAAAATATTCGTGTTCGAAATTGCAAATTTTGATGCATATGTGTCTCATTGTGACTCTAGAAGACTAGATCTGATACTGTTTTGTCTAATTTGTAGATAATGTGGATGATATTGCCTAATTATTGATCCATTTAGGTGGAAGCAAGAACTCTGTTTTTTTGCTCTGTTTTTCTCTGTTTCACTGATGATTTGTTTGCTTTATAGTTTGACAACTTGTACGGATGCCGACACTCGCTACCCGATGGTCTCATGAGGGCTACTGATGTAATGATTGCTGGAAAGGTTGCTGTTATCTGTGGTTATGGTGATGTAGGAAAAGGTTGTGCTGCAGCAATGAAAACCGCGGGTGCTCGTGTCATAGTGACTGAGATTGATCCAATCTGTGCTCTTCAAGCTCTTATGGAAGGTCTTCAAGTTCTAACTCTTGAGGATGTTCTTCCAGAAGCTGATATCTTTGTTACCACTACTGGTAACAAAGATATTATTATGGTTGATCACATGAGGAAGATGAAGAACAATGCCATTGTCTGTAACATTGGTCATTTTGACAACGAAATCGACATGCTTGGACTTGAGACTTACCCTGGTGTGAAACGTATCACCATCAAGCCGCAGACCGATAGGTGGGTGTTTCCAGATACCAAGTCTGGCATCATTGTTCTAGCTGAGGGTCGTTTGATGAACTTGGGATGCGCTACTGGACACCCGAGTTTCGTGATGTCGTGCTCATTCACTAACCAGGTGATTGCACAGCTTGAGCTCTGGAACGAGAAGTCGAGCGGGAAGTACGAGAAGAAAGTGTATGTTTTGCCTAAACATTTGGATGAGAAGGTAGCTGCACTTCACTTAGGCAAGCTTGGTGCAAGACTCACCAAGCTTAGCAAGGACCAATCTGACTATGTCAGCATACCTATTGAAGGTCCCTACAAGCCTGTTCACTACAGGTACTGAGAAGATAAAAGAGTCAAGCTTTGGTTCTTCGTATGGTATTATGATTAAGCCGTTTATTGGCAATTTGTTTGAGTCGGGTTGGGTCTGGTCTGGTCGAGGAAATATGAGATATTGGTCCTCTGATGAGTGTGACCAATTATTGGTATGAATAAGGGGTTGTTTTTGATTTATGAGAGGCTATTTTTTTTTGTTTTCTTCTTCTTCTTCTATTTATATATATATCTCAACATAAATTAGCTTCTGTTTTACACTATTGTTAGGTTTATTTATGCTTTGTTCTGTTTACTTTTTGAAACAAGAGAGAAAACAAAATATTGCAAAGCTATTTTTGGCTTCATATTATTGGAAATCTTTTGCTTCTTTGAAGTGTATACTATGAATCTAAGATGGTCAATCCAAAAGTTCGACTATTAACCTTTGAATCGTGTCTCATGAATTTTCTAACACTAATTTGACACGACTCAAAGACTGATACTACAGTAATGGGTGTGTTGTGACCAGCCAGATAATACTAATGACAAACCTTGAAATGAAACAAACTTGGGTGGTGTTTACAAGGTTTTTGGTGAGTGTAAGAAGCCAAAACTCAAAATTGGCCTCCAGTTACAGAGTCTACTATACCAACTCTATCATGATAAGCTATATCCAAGAGTTGATAACAAATTATTATTTTGAACAAGACAGAGTTTTTTGATAAAGAAAACACATGAGTATACTGAGTCCTTCTCTGAATCACACAACACAAACACAAACTTAAGCCATAACTCAGCTGAAACTCTCTATGCTTTACACAAATTGAGTTCAATGGAGAATCCAAAAGTCAGGTTCTTGAACTTACAAGAACAACCAAACTCAGCTTTCTAACTAAATCAGAGAAGCAGCAAGGTCTTTTTTCTGCAACATTATGTTACTCAGATTAATTGCTTGATGGATTCAAACCCATGAAAGATCTAAATCCATTATAGAACCATCTCAATTCTTCATATACTCTGCCAAAAACTTCTAAATTTGGTTCATAAGTAGCCTGAACAAGCTTAAAAACCCAAACTTTATCCTACAATTTCCACAATCTTCCATCTTTATCACTCCACTCAAAAATTTCAAGAATATAAATCTCAATTACTTGAACAATGATAGCCAAATAATTCCAAAATTACACATCACTAATTAAGAAATCTAATGTAAACAACAACAACAACAACAACAACAACAACAACAACATTACAAAACACAAGAACAATAAGATTTCACTTGCCTCACAGAATATGAATTTCAAACTCAGATGTTCTTAAAGAACACGAAAAATGCCTCCCCAATGTTTCAAGTCTTGATGTCGTTAGTGTCTCTAGCACACCTAGTAATGACGCTACATCCTCTGTTGTAAGCATTAGCCTGACCAGACCGACAAGCATAATAAGAAGCACCTGGTTTCTGACAAGGAACCATATCTCTCCTCAAAGTTTCATAGCTTATATATCGTTTCCGCATCATCATTACTCTCCGGCTTATCTCCGACGGCATCATCTCCTCTCCTTCTTCTTCCCCGATTACGCCGTTCCGGTTCAGCATTGCGTCGATTTCTCCGTTCACCGACGGAATCGGAACCGTGACGGAGATTGAGAGATGGGTTTGAAGAAAAAGTAAGGATAAGTAAACGAGAGCTAAGGATCTTGACATGTCGGTGTGTGAAAATTTGGTAAGATTGTTATCTCTGTGTTTACGACAACTCCAAGTAGAGGTCTTGGGAGTTAAACCGGTCGGTTTAAGTTTGATAGAGTTCAACTGAATTGTAACATCAAGTATTTAATTAAATAATTTTTTTTTTTCATTGGGTTCTTATCCATTTTTTAAATATTTATTGTGGACCACTAACAAACACTTGGTTCCTTTGAGAATTCACGATTAATTGTTGTTTTTCTTTCCAACTACATGATCATTTTGGTTTATATTGAATTTAATTAGTAACATTTATGGTAGATTTAGTGTTAATATCGAAATGTGGCACCATCATTGATAGTTTATGAGCATTTCTTATTTTTTCTATTTCTAACTACTAAATTTTTCTTAATTTAAACTTTATCAATGCGAATTTTTGAATTATTTGAATTTTTTAAATTTTTTCTTTACTCATGTTTATTATCTTTCCATAACAAAAAATATTTTTTTCACACTTTTCAATACAATTTTTCTTGTTATCTTTTATGATTCACTCGTTGTCTCCCGACACCTACTCTCTTTTCACCTTATGTTGGCTCACATATAATATACTTGACTATGAATTAGTTCTCAAGATAGATCGTATATATTTTCTCATTCATATCTTTCAATACTCAAATTTCTTTTATAAGTTACATGATCTTTTTATTAAAGTGAACATTAAAAAATCTCGGGAGATATTTGTCATAAAGTTTCTTTGACCATATTTCGTCCATATATACAACAAATCTCATATATGGACTCATACCTATTCACAAACATCGGATTTCAACATCAAATTTTGCACTTTATCTTGACCGTTTAAAAAATACAAAAAACAAATTCACATATATAATTTGACATATATTATAATTCTAATAATGTTGATTTTCGTAAAATTCGTAACTTACGAACTCATATAAATCATTCTAATTTTAAAATACATTTTTTAATCTTTAATTTTTGCTTCTAATTAAAAAAGTTTCAATATACCATTACTATTCTAATTTTCAAATAGCATTCACAATATTATTATTACGCAGTTTATTTTTATTTGTGATGTTTAGGATAGTTTTTGTTTTATTTCAAATCACCTTACAGTTTTTCGATGTATGTTAAAATTTCCTAAACACCTGATTAGTATTTAGTTTTTCTTTTTTTAAGGTATTCATTTGATTTTTTTTAAAAAAACCCAACACTTTTTAATTTAGAAAACATTTATAATATATAAAATTTTATTAATTTAACTATTTATATTATATTATAATAATAAATAATAATATGTACTCAATTCGTCTTATTTTTAATAAGTATAATGAATTGATACTTTAACATTAACAAATATATTCTTAATTTTAAATGTGTATTTTTCATAAATGAATTAATTTTTATTTTCACTAAAACCCTTTAAATTTAGTATATTTTTAAGTCTTATTTTTCTTTATTATACTAAATAATTGTAACTCTTAATATTGATTATATGTTACTTTTTTTTTCATATTTGTAGTCATTTAGAAATATTTACTCATTAAATGTTAAGATATAATTATATAATTTTATATTTCATGCAATTCGTACTGCATGGCGAGATTCCTCTACCACTCTATAAATGGAGGCTTTGATAAGTGTCTTCACTTCATAAAATTCAAATCAAAGAAATTGAGTACTTTGATTTGCATATGGATATGGATGCTGCAAACATGCTTTCTGCAATTACTGGGGAAATGGGGCAACTACAAAATGAGATTCAAGAGCGCCGTAGAGTGCTAAACCTCTTTTTGAGGAGTGTTAGAACACTGGAATCCAATCTATATTTAAAAACTTCATATTTTATATTATAAATTTATTTTTTTCGTTCTAATATTTAATTTATTCTTTTGTAAATTATTGTTTTTGTTTAATGAAATATAATAATATAAATTAGAAAATGTGTAAATTAATTATAGTTTTAATGTTTTTTGTTTTAATATATAAAATATATGGAGCCCATACAAAATTAAAATAGGATGACTTGGATGATGATGTGGATACCCTAGATGGAGAGACAACTCTCCCATTATATATATAGATTCCGCTACTGCTTACCTTTTTTTTTGTTAAAATACTTTTACCGTTTTATGTCGTAGTGAATTTTAAATTTTTTGTTTCTATCTTAATTTTATAATCAATGTCGATTTAGGATAATAATCTTTCGATTAATAAATCTTTATAAAATATCAATGTACTAAACATGTTTTGAAACGATTTTATTAAAATAGTTGTGTTTAATTCGTATGAAAAGTAAATAATTTTGGCGGTCATTATGATTAAATGGGTGGGGTTAGGGGGGTAAAAATCATCATTAAGGAGTTAGTATAAATGCCACCAAACAAGTTCAACAACCCAACTACATCAGCTGAGCTGTTTCCATTGGCCCATGCTCTATGTTTTTATTTTATTTTTGCTTCACACCAAAGCATCAATAAATTCACGTCATTGCTCAAAACAAAAGATAAAGCCATAATAACACAATCAGCTGAAAATTAAAGGGTTTTGAGACCAAGTTGCCGAGCTTATTTCTTTGATTTTATGTTTTTAATAGGAAAAAATAACAATTGATGGAATCATTTATTCAGATAAAGCAGGTAACTAGGAGATAGAAAAGTTTATTATTCCCTTACTAACAAATGCAAATAACACAAGAAAAATGAAATTAAGTCTTGGACTCACTTCCTCTGCTTCACTGCTTTCATTGTTCTCTACTTGACCAAGTTGTCTAAAGAAGGAAAATGAGTTAAAACACACTATACTACCGAGACCCAATTATAAGAAATTGGGCTTAGCTCCAATTAATGGCCCATGATGATTTGACCCTTATTCTGTGACTTGTGTCACCAGATTCTCTGTTTCTTCTATTCCCTCCCCTCTTTTGAGTTTCCTTCTTCTTTCTTTATAATCAACGATCGTTTTCTTCTCATCTCAGTCTCAGCAATTCAAAGTTTAAACTCGCTCAGGTGCATGATTAAACAAAGGAAGACATTCTAACACAAACCCAAAAGATTGGTACGTTTCATTAATGCAATCTCAAACCAAGTAACCAACCAGTTCATATATATGCTTACCAATAGCCAATCTAAACTCGAAGGGAACACCTAACTCTAAAAGTCAAATCCAAACGAACGAAGTACAAAAACACACCAAGCATCAAAACAACACAAGAGAAAATCTTTTTTTAGCAGAAACGTGAAAATTTCTTTTATATTTATAGAATTAAATCTCTTAAATCTATTTGAAATCTGACCACAGTCAGCGATCACCACGGTCTTGGAAGGCTTCCCGTTATAAGTTTGAACCTCTTCCATAATGCTCTTGAGCACATCCAATCCTTCAACAACTTGGCCAAACACAACGTGCACGTCGTCGAGTCCCAAACACTTCAATACTTCATCATGCAGATCATGAACTGAGAATCGTTGGAGTCTGGACCACCATTGGACATAGAGAGTATACCTGGACCGGTGTGCTGCTTGATGTAGTTCTCATCCTCGAATGTTCCGCCATAAATAGATTCGCCTCGGGATCCGTCCCCGACAATGATGTCTCCTCCACATAACATAAAATTGGGGGACACATGGTGGATGCATGATCCCTTGTAATGGAGTGGCTTACCACTCTTCCCTATGCCTTTCTCGCCGGTACATAAGGCTCGGAAGTTCTCGGCCGTCCGCGGTGTCGTGTCTGCGAAGAGCTCCATCACGATCCGATCAACCGGTTTGCCGTCGACGGTCATGTCAAAGAAAACTTTAGGGTTAGCCATTTTCGGAGATGAATATTAGGGTTTGTATATACAAGGATGGATTCATATATATAGAGAAGCGATGCTGATACATATCAAAACTGAAAGATATGCATTGTGGATTAAGTAAGATATGCATTTCGATTGTTAGATAAAAAACATTTACTTATATACCAAAGATATATATATATATATATATATATATATTTTTCCCTCTCTATATTACCAACATTGCAACCCTAAAGTTTCAAAATTGATAAGAAGAAAGCGAATCGAAAATATGTTAAGATCAGAGCTGGACCAAAGAAATCCAGGGCCATAGGAATTAAGAAAAAAATAGCATCATAGTTTATAGTAAAAAAAACTATAGACTAAGAAGAAAAGTATATTAAAAATATCTACTACTATATCTTAAAATCTAGATACTAAAGCTTTGATATTCTCTACAAGAGAGGTGACTCAGCTTTCAAAAAACAACAATGTTATCAAAGAGAGAAAGGAACAAGCCATATGTCCTAGATTTTTTAATCAGCTTCTTCTTCTTCTTCATCTTTAGTTCGTTACCAATTCCATATCAAGTCTCAGTTTCCTACTTATCTCTCTGCAGCTCTAGCTGCTGCAAGCTCATGGCGACGGCTAGCTTGTTGCATCATCATTGGTAGTGAGGATGAAGAATGATCTGAAGATGGTTTCTGAGGAAGCGATTTTGCAATCTCAACGTTCAACAGTCTACCAAAGGAAAGTATATGGTTATAAGTCAAAGCAGCTGTTGCTTCTTCGGGCTTTGAGTATTCTATGTAGGCAAGATTCTTTGAATCAGTTATAAAACAGTCAACTATTGTGCCACAGAAGCTAAATATCTGCCTAAGATGTACAACCGTATGCCGTGGACTCATGTTGGTAACTTGGATAAATTTTCTTCAATGCATCTCCTTTTTCTTGGGAACCTAAATAAGAAGCATGAGTATCACAAAAGTGAAGAATACTAAATAAAATATCTATGAAGACTCAATTTGAGAGTCTGAGACTCAAAACAAAATAGAGGTATATATCTACAATAGTTAAGAAAGTATGATCTACACCTTTGAATGTAGCCTCAACGTGATCATTCTCATTTTCGTGTCTGATTTTTGCATCTTCGGCATGTTTCATCAAAAAGGGCGTACCAGCAGCAGCAGCAGAACCACGATCAGTTGCCATCAAATTGTGAGATTGTGAGGTTGTGAGGGCTTTAGTTTGAGTGATTTTTCTAAAGCATATTAATAAAAGAGAGAAATTCTTGAAGCCTTGTGTTCTTGATCATCTCTTTCTTTAGATTCTAGAGACACAAGGGTATATCGATTCTTGTATACGTTGATTATGGAATTTGTTATCTTTTGATGTCTTTGTATAATATTTATATAAACTCGGTTTTAAATCAATATGACTATAGATGTTAAAAAAAAAAAAAACTATTTCAAAACAAAAACCGAAATACTATACAATAAAGATGTTATATGTTATATATAATTTCAATTTGTGATTCCTAACAAAATCAATACTAGAACCACCGATTCTAATCCAATTTGATCTCTTTAGTATGAATACTACCTTAAGTGTTGGTTTGCTTTATTTCATTGCGCCTTTGAGCACTCACAAGTGTATTAAGCATCTCAAGTAATCAACATTTTATAGATTGATCACACTCACACATAAGACATAACCCATTATTTGAATGAATTTTGTTCCATTTCCATAGAAATTCTTTTCATTAATGAAAAAACTAAACCCAGATATCCGAGGTGCAGTCGCCGCCCGGATATCTCATCTCATGAGCGAGTGAAGGACCATCCGGTTCGGTCCCAAAGTCGACGAAGAAGTTAGGGTTTATGGAGAGACCACCTTTATCTGTATCAACATCTATCTGCAACATGTGTGAACCTTTCTCCACAAGTTCTGGGTAAAACTGTCTGTCCCAAACGCTAAAAAGCGAGTTTGTCACGTACAATCGCTTCCCGTCTAGGCTCAGCTGAAACATCTGAGGACCTCCTCTTAGACGCTGACCCTTTCAAAAAAGAAAAACACACCCATAATTACAACAGCGTGTAAAACAAGTAACATGATCTAGATTTTGTTCAACGGACCTTGATCTTAGGGACATCGAACTGAAATGTCTTTCCTTCTTCTCCTACGGCTAAGACATGGCTTCCCTTTTGGACTAGCCCGCCAACGTGTAGTTGACCGGTTAAAACAGGGGTTTTCGGGTCCTCGATGTTGTACTGACGAATATCTCCATGAAGCCAGTTGGAACAATAGAGGAATCGGTCGTCAAGTGAGATTAGAAAGTCGGTGATAAGCCCTGGCATTTCTGGGAGAATCCAGTTTTCAACTTTCAAAGGTTCCACTGATATAGCCACCTTAAGATTGAAGAGGTTGTTTGTTGTTAGGAAAAAAATCAAAAGAAATGAAGAATAATAAGTAGAGAAGATTCATCATATACCTCATGGCTCCATGTTTCATCATCGTTCTTGAAAAATCTTACCATAGTACTCGACAACGCACACCCCGCAAATCCCGTAGCTTTATCCGGGTCGTGCAAGAATCTTACCTGCACAACAAAACAGAGGAGGAAGATTTACTTTCTTGTGGAAGAAGAAAGTAGTATAAACTGAGATTTGCAAGATTAGGGTTTACCTCTAAGGGTAAAAGTCCGGTGTCACCAAGGTCAAGTATCTGTTTCAATTCTCCTTCGGGCCAACTATAGACATGTAGATGTTTTCCATACAAGCCATCAGAGACGTCTTTGAGGTCAAATCCTTTGGTAAACGCTGCTGGTGCTCCCCAAGAGGTACTGATCATTGTCTTGTGCCGAGGTTGGTACCAGAAGTCATACCCATACAAAGGACTGTTTCCATCCTTCTCCCACCTATTACAAGAAATTCAAATAGCTATTACTCAAAACCCTAAGCTAGAGATTAGTTTTTGTTCTTCTTTCTTGCCATCTACGGAACAGTACAAATCCGTTCTCCTCGAAGTTACCTTCCTTTGATATTAAACTCGGAATCAAGTAAAAGAAACCCACTGCCTTCTGCGTTTCCATCTTCGTCCCCAAGACAAGACACAAGAACGTCTCCAGAAGCTAAGCAATGAGGCTGATGCGGATAAGCCAATCCAGTCTTCTCTGAAATCTCAGCAGGGTCCACGAATTTGTGCAGAAATGGTTCCCTCGGGTTTGTTTTCGTGTCGATAAAGTAGATGCGACCAGACCTTTTCCAACATGTATGAGATGAGAACACAAAACATGAGAACTTTTTAGCCCCAAAAATAAAAAACAGAGAAGAGATATTGTTTAGTTTCTTACAGAAGAGAAGGCAAGATGAGATAACGTCTCTCGCAAGAAGAATCACCATAGCAAGAGCTACATGAGTTCCAGCCTGAATGATGAAGTTCATCTCCAAGATAAGGCATTGGTAATCTGTGGATGACACTAGAGTATGTCGATGAACTCGGCTCCACATCCACAGTTGCTAAGTAATCTGGCTTCGCTTGCCCGGTTCCTGGACCAAAGTTTGACATTAGTTAATCTTGATGACTCTTAAAAAGCTACAAAAATAGTTTACCGGTGTATATGGCAGCGACATAGATGAGATTCTCTCGCGGACCAGACATCGCGAGGAGGGGTGTCGCATAACCCGGCCCACTCTTACAGCAATCTCCATCGTGGTTGTTCACCGCCGCTTCCATTTTTTTGTCTTTGTCTCTCAAACAAGCTGTCTTAGCTAGTAATGCTACTATTTTGCATATACTAGATTTGCATTAATACTCATATATTCTGCACGTTGGAGTAAACTTATCTACTCCACATTTTGCACTGTTGGAGTATGTATTAAGCACTGTCCACATTTTAAAAATCACATATATATGTTCTGCTTTAATCATTTCGTTTTATAAATATGATAAAAACAAACAAGAAAAAAAACAATAAACCTTCACGTTTCTTAGAGCATAGATAATATATTTTTGTACAGATCATAGCTCACCTAATCAAATTTAAAAACAAGTTGCAATATTCTATCAACAACTACCAATTCACCCAATAGATAAGCTCAAACCTCTTTGGTTTATACTTGTTTACTCGACTAACATAGTCTCATTCGATCTTCAAAGAACACAAAGCCTAAGATTATTAGTATAGAACAACAACTGTTAAAAACTTTTAGTACATGAACTAGTAAAAGAAAAAAAAAATCACCTTACTACTATCGGCATGAAGAAATAATATACTTATGTCAAAAGGTGTCACTTTCGAGTTTTCAGGCTAATTTAAGTAAAAAAAAAAAAAACTTAAAGCTAGTTATAGAATACTATATCAACAACGTAACTACACAAAAAATGTCAAAATATCTCAAGCACTCAAACGTACTTGGATTTTTTACCGGTTTAATTGTTCCCTCTCAATTATTGGCTCTATTACTCTTACAAGAAGAGATCTAATAAGTATCTATAGTGCTGTAGAACTGGCGAATTCCATGGTTAAAGAACAAAAACCCATGCTCGAAGACAAAGGAAGCATTTTAGAAATTTAATGCAACTTTGGATTAGATGATTTCACTTTTGTGTCTTCTTAAACATTTGTGGCCTTGTTTTTTATTCTTTTTTGGCAAGGTTCTCAAAAGCCTTAGGTATTATGTTTGTAATCCCTAAACTTTTCATTTCTAATGATATTTACAGTTATATAAAAAAAAGAACAAAAACCCTATTATTTTTCATGAATTGGTGTTGCTTTGTTTTACGTGAACCGATATTTGCAGCTTATATGATTAACAATGGAGTCCACATTTGCTATCCTTAACAAGGTAAATGTAAAATGGAAAATGTAGATGTTCACCGCCGCTTCCATTTTCGTTTTTATCGCTCAACCAAGTTGTCTTAGCTAGTAATGCACCTGCATGCATATTTAAAAATCACACATGTTCTGCACTAATAATTTTGTTTTATATATAAACACAACAAAAACAAACAAAAAACACAATAAACTATCACGTTTCTTATCTCATAGATAATATATTTGCTCTCACCTAATCAAATTTATAAGCAAGTTGTAATATTCTATCAACAACTACCAGCTCACTGCTCACCCAATGATTACACTTGTTTAATCGACTAGACTAATCATTTGTTTTGCATTAACTAAAAACCCCATCACTTTCCATCGCACTTAAATGCTTTTGGCTTGAAGGGATAATATAATTATGTGAAAAGATGTCACTTTCGAATTTTCAGGTTAATTTAGTTTGAAAACAAAAGCTGGGCAAGTTATACAATATTGTATCAACATCTACCATCTACTCTAAACACAGAATGTCAAGTCTTAATATCTCAAACCCTCCAACACACTTAAGTTTTTTACCGGTTTAATTGTTCCTCCCAATTATTTTGATTCTATTAGATCCAATAAGTATCCATACTGCTGCAGAACTTGGCAACCCCTCAAAAGGCCTCTTACTTTTTCATGAATATGGTGTTGCTTTATTATACGTAAACCGTTATTTGCAGCTTATATTATTAACAATGGAGTCCACATTTGCTATCATTAACAAGGTAAATGTAATAAAAAAAAAAAAAAGAGGAAGCTAAAATGTCTAGTCTACTTGTAGAGTCTTTCTATTTCATCCTTGTATTGATCAACCACCTTGTCCCGTCTTATTTTCATTGTCGGTGTCATTAAACCGTTGTCTATCTGTAACGATATTCATAGAACGTTCACATGAGGATTGAATATTTTGAAGGGATTATCAATGAGAGCAAGCAAAAGAAGGTACCGTGAAGGGCTCATCCACGATCAGAACCGGTCCAACTTGGAACGAGCATTGTGATGTCCTGCATTATGGTTTACATATGAGTAATTGCTTGATTAGGGAAGTATACGCTTAATCCTACATTAGAGAGGGATCCAAACGCTCAAAGAGTAGCACTTGGTTTGAATCATTACCATTTCCTCAGTTCTTCGTAGACCATGCTTGTTATCGTCTCCTTGCTTAGTTCGTTGACTTCAGGATCTACAGGTGAAATTTTCTGCTTTGCTGCTCCTTCTACTGCTTCTTTGTTTGGGATAATAATAGCTCCAAGGCGGCGTTGATCCTGAGAACGAAAGATCCAATGACGCATTCACTCCAGAGAAAAAAATAAGTATAACATCCCATATATACCATTGTTTCCTAAATCAAAATCTCCAACAAGTACCTGTCCAATAACCACTATTTGTTGAATCAAATTGCTTCTCATGGCCGCTTCTTCAATCTCCAATGGTTCCACATTTTCACCTACAACAGTCAAACTGCTATCAAACGCTTTTGGCAATATTTTTGCAGCAAGGCGGTTTCAATTCACTTGGGTTCATCTTTAGCCCTAGAGGCACATTTTGTTGTTAAGACTTGTCGTGTTTAAAATGTATGCTTCTCATACAGACAGTAGGAAACATTATTTTGTTTCAGGTTTTCGAGGAACCGGTTTATGTGGACGCTGATAACAAAGTGTACAAATATGATATACCTGTAGAAAGCACGATTGTGTCCTTGGCACGGCCTTCAAGAACGATGAGACCTCCACAGCTACGACTCCGTCCTGTTGAATGCTGAGGAGTAATCCAACCCATATCTCCAGTATTGAACCATCCATCGTCATCTATAACTTGCTTGGTGGCCAGCGGATTCTGAGATAATCAACAGAAAGATGAGTTAATCTTGATCTAACCACCGATCCCAAAACATTCATCCAAAACACAGAGAATGTCTGAGGAGTCCACAAATGTAGAAATGGATTGCAAGAAATGTAGGTTCCAATGAGATGCTTTAGATTATTAATGATGAGATCAAGATTGGAAAGAGTTCACATAATCTACTTAAGTAGGTGCAGTATTCCATCAACAAACCCTATATAGAAGTCAATATAATGGCTAAAAACTGATGTATCATCCTTTCACAACTTTGTCGTAAAATTGTAATTAAACAAAGAGCAGAAAGTGTGTATCACCTTGTAGTAACCTTTCATTACCGGTGGGCCTCTGACTTTGACAATGCCCTTTGAACCAGGTGGAAGAACAGTACCAGTCTCATGATCTACAATTTTGAATTCTGTATCTTTAATAGGATGCCCAACTGAGCCAAGAACCTTCACAAAAAAAGTACGGAAGATATAACATTAACTAGTTGACATACTCCGAAAATGTATATAAACAGTAAAGATAGGAGACTTGTAATGTCCTCTAAACTCTATTGTGCTAGATGGATTCTTTAATAGCTTTTTTGGACTAATTGTGACCCAAACATTTGGTGCAAGATGAGAGTTTATTTTCCATGATCACAAAAGTAGATGTCATTGAGGCGAGAGTTTTAACGTACATTACACCTAAGCCTCCGCGCAGAGACAACCGGTGAGGTTTCTGTCAAACCATACCCATTTTGTACATTCACACCGATGGCCTGCAGAAAGAACTAAGCTGTTTACATATGGACAGACTACCTTGTTTGAATGCAAAATGAACCATTTATCTCTAACTTCATGAAACAAAATTGCCGGTCTAACCTCGAAGAACTTGTCAACATGCATAGGTAAACTACCACCTCCACTAACACCAGCCTGGAGGAAACAAAGAACAGATTGCAAGTCAGTCTCACAATCTTTCTTGTAAGGTAAGAGAATTTTTCTTCCCCTACAAATAAAACAAGTAATTGAAAATGAAGTAGATATTGTAATACTACCTTTGTTATCCCAATAGACGAACGAATTTTTTTGTGCACAAGCTTTTCAGCTAACATATGCAATGGCCAAAGGACAAACGCAACTACTCTCGCCCACAACCAATCCAGCAACGAAACAATATACAATGGAGGCTTTTGATTTTTTGTCAAACAAAGACCCTGCACACCAGAGAAAATAATTTATCACGAGTCCAAGCATCACGAATAGGAACAAGCAGAAAAACTCTATTAACCAAAACTATTAGGCAGCACGAAATATTAAAGAGGACATCATCTGGTTCACAAACCTCATAAATTCTTTTCATCTCAGTATATGCCAGGCTGACTTTGATCAATGTAAGCGCCAAAAATTTACGAACAGGGGAGCTTGTCGAAATTTGCTTTTGAATCCCGCTACAATCTCAGAAAAGAAAGAAAAATGTTTAGCAATTAACATGGTTGAGGATGCTAAGAAAAATGCAATGACTTAAATCATGGAAGATAAGAAAATAATACATTGTCAATCTGGAATGACCAAGTAGAAACAGCCATGAGGGAAATCTTAGACTTAGCTCTCAGTTGCGAAAGATGGCTTTAAAATATATTCAACATATGCATATGAACAGTGAATCATAAGCTCTTATCAGTAAACTCTAGTATCAATAGAACCTATCTGAAAGTTCTTGAATCTTGTGAGAAAGAAAATTCCTTGTAAAGTAGTAGTATACCTGTAGAGTGTCTCATATACTAAAGGTACTGAAATAAGATAGTGTGGTTGATACCGCTTGAGATCATCCTATACCAAAAAAAAAAAAAAGTTTCAAATCCAAAGGGAAAAATATAAATGAAAGGCTCGACTCAGTGCAAAGTTTTATCGTCTCCTATTTCCAAGGATAAGATGTTTCTTTTGAAATGTCATTGTGTACATAACATAGAAAGACTTACCTTTAAGAATCTTATAGACGTATACTTTTGCTCAACTCCACATGTAAATATGAAGTATTCACAAGCCCGTTCATAGGCATGCCATGATGGCAACATACTTAGAAATCTTTCCCCAGCTTCAGCAGGCACAAAGTCGGACAAATTTCTTATCTGTAGAGTAATTCAAGAAACCAAAAGACCAAAAAATAGCAAAGTCTGTAGTTTATAAATGATGACATAAAGACACCGTTTTGATGAGAGGTATTAGCTTGAACCTGGTGTAACAAATTCTGATGTGTAAGCATAACACCTTTTGGATTTCCCGTGGTTCCACTGGTATACATAATTGTGGCTATATCATCTGGATCGATGAATTCATATTCATACTTCCCTGCAGTCATTCATTTGTTAGCACTTCCAAACGCACCAAAGGGCTACATAAAAAAGTAGATGTGGCGCTTACCAGCATCATTAGATCTTGCAACTTTTGCACGTCTCTCTTGTCCAAATTTTTTAATTTCATTGTAACTATAGACTGGTGTGTGCCTACCCTCTGTAACCAACGACGATTTTTCCCCCCAGAGAAGAATCACAAATTTTGGAGCCGCCTTGTAAGAAAATGACTCAGCAATGCGGTTGAAAAACTCAGGGTTATCCACAACAAGGGCTACGCTGCAAGACAAATCAAAGAAGTTACCAAAACTCAGTACTTTGAATAAATTTGAAAATAAAGAACTGGAGACACGCATAATAAGTAATCCAAAAGACAACTAAAAACCATTAGCTACACGAAATCAGGCAGTACACATCATATTGAAGGATCAAGGACTTCTGTCTCTGCCATTCAAGAATCTCCTTGATTAATTACGGCTCACAGGAGCCACAATAGGAAGAACCATAAGACAAGTGTGAAACCAAGACATTGACTGAAATTCACCTAATCACTAGTGCGGATCACTATGAAACCAAATGATATCTCTCTTGGACTCAGCAGGATAATTAGATGTTATCTGAAGTGACAGAAGTTCTAAAAATGGTTCATGAAAACAAGGAATTTTGATGATACAAGTGGTAAGTACTGTATATGTTTTTTGGTATATGGCAATAAAAATTCAAAATGTGTATGAGTAGAGTATAATTTGCTCGCCTCTATCTTGAGTAAGATATTCACTTGAAACAACAAAATAACAAAAAGGTCTAGGCGTACCTTTCCGAATGACAGTAAATCTGCAATAATTCTTCAACAGAGGATCTGGATCCTCTAACAACATTGACTGCTCCTGTGGCCATTATACCTGGCATAAAGTAGTAAAGAGAACATAAACTTACCAATACCTGTGGAAAACAAAAAAATCGAAGAACCAAACGAAATAATTAGAATTTATTGTAGTGAAGCAGGGAAGTTAAAACAGCTTCACATGCTAGCATCATGATGGTATTGCCAACTGAGAGTGCAATTTAACTTTCCATGTCAATTGAAAAATTCTAACTAGACTTTCACTTCTCTGGGCATGAAACTTAGCCATTGATGAATATCTATCAAATGAAAGACTTTCAAACTAAAGTAAGAACTTTGGAAGCCTTAAGGTTGATAATTTTTCCCTTTCTGAAACATCTAAAGAATGGATAGATATTATTGAGGTGTTTAAATAGGTGTAGCACCACAAATATATAAGAAAGAATATCAAAAAGTAGAAACAGACCAAAACATATCTCGACAGTTCATTGATTGTCTCTGGAGTGGAAATGATCAATAAATAATGTATAAGGTAAGCACCGGCAAGCCAATATTCTAAGTGTAATGACATCATCCAACAACGTTAACGCTCAAGCATTACGCAGTTTATGTAATAGATAGTGATTCTCCTACAGCGTAGAATTTGAAAGTTGTCTATATTATTAACTGCATACCTTGATCAGCAACAAGCCACCGACAGGAGTTATCAGCGAAAAGTGCAATCTTCTCATCAGCTTTCACTCCAACAACTCGCAAACCCTCAACAAAGTCCAAGATTTCTTGTTCCAACTGCAGTTTAAGATGAACGAAAGCATCCATTACTTCCAAATTTAACATCACTAAAAACTTCAAAATTTATTACCCACTTATCTAGCAACACAGAAGTATTTATCAGGCAGATATACAGTTGGCGAAGAGCAGGTGTATAATAATTGAAACAACGTTGGTTCCTAACATATATATTAAAACCAACAAACACGAAGGGACATGCCTGACTATAATCATTTGAAATTATCAATTTAGTATGCTTCCAAACATCCGAAATATGGTTCATCTTCAGCACCCTCTAGCTACCTTCTTATTAAGAAGCAGTTAAGATATGCAGCTTCAGAATGTCTAAACACTACAGAACTAATAGATAAAGAAATAAAGCTGATGGCCAATCAATATTAACTCTTAAAATTCAGTTTTTCCCTAAGTTTTGACTCATGCTTACCTCTGTCTCAAAAGTATGGAGATCTAAAATAATGGAACAAGTGACTCAAACAATGAGATGCCAACAGCGTTACCTGTCTGTAAGTGAATGAAGAAGGCGGGTCATGATACGGATCCACCACCGCAACTCTGTCACCGTACTTCTCCACAGATGATCTCCAAATATCAGGAACAGCCTTCCATTCATTAGAGCTCAAAGCAGCCTCCCTTGGAGATGATAAGCGTTCCAAGAATGGCGAGCACCGCCTTAATTCCTTCTCCTGAATCTATAAGAACGGTACAAAACTGATGTCACAGATCATTCAGGATATGAACCTTTAGCCAGATAACAATCACAACAATCAAGTATCGAATATGTTAGAAATTTGAAAAGAACTCGCCTTGGACTCGCAGCCAACTCGAAATCCCCTGCGTGAAGTTCTGCGACCAAAACCCTTGTAACCAAACACCAATCTCATCCCAGAAACTTGAAATTCAGGAACAGAGGAGCAGTGAGAAACGAGAATCGAAGCTCCCAGAGACGTTGAAGCCATGGCTGATGAGAGAAGTCAAAAGGGTTATTGTGATGATGAAGTTGGTTGCATAAAGAGATGAGATGAGAGGAGAAAGAGAGAAAGATGAAGAAGCAAAGAAAGGTAGAAAGAAAGAGACGAGAGAGGATGTCGATGTCATGATTACGATTTTCACAGGAAAGATCAGTTCCAAGATGGTTGGCACCGCTACAGAAGTATGGCTTCTTCAGACTCTCAAAGAATAAAAACAAAACAGAGCTGATACTTACACTTATATAAGAATATTTTATTTATATAAATATATTTTTATTACTCTTTCATTTCAAATGTTTTTACAACTTTAATTACAGATTAATTGTGTCTCTTGTATAGTTTTTTTTTTTTCTCTTTTACCTAATAAATCAAACTAACCCATAATTATGATGTCCCAAATTTGGTGATTGTTTTATGATTATTTCCAAACTGTTAGCACTGTTTAATTGAATTATGTATTCTTCTTTTTTTTTTTTTTTTGATCAAAATTGAATTATGTATTCTAAAACCAAAATGTAGATAATTTTTTGAATTTTTTTTTACAAATTATGTCATTTGCACTTCATGTGTCTGTTGTACAACTTCTAAGGCAAGAATCTAGATATGAGATAATCGTTTTTTGGTCAAACTGAAATAATTTTAGTTTTGAACTAAATACGTGGGAATTAACGGATAATGGTTAAAAAAAATTTAAATATTGTTACTTGTTACTTGCCTTGTTTACTACGAAAATTTATTTTCTCAAACTAAATACGCGGAAATTAACGGATACAAGACGGATAACAAGTAATTGTACCTAGCTAACTTTCAAGTTTCAACTTTATTAGATTTATATCCATATAGAACATAACAATCTTTAGTAGACTTGATAGATTTCTAAAGTTTCAATTTGGAAGCATAAAGTTGTTCTCAAAATTGACTAAATTACCCTTTATTTTGAACTAAACAAAGCACACTAACACGAGAACAACAGAAGGACATACCCGTCATTTCAACAAACGACACTCAATTTCTTCACTCCCTCGTCGACTGCTTCGCTTCGTTTAACCATCGAAAAAGTGAGCCAAGGGTTTTGACTCTCTTCGTTTTCTACTGCGAAATCTCTCCGATTTTCCGGCGACGTTGACTCTGCCTTCCTCCAACACCGCCGTTTTACTCCATCGTTCCAGCTTAAGCAATCAAGGTACCCATTTTAGGTATTACGCTTTGATTCTGCTTTTAAGCATTGGAAATTCCGGAGACTATATGCTTTAGAGAATGATTCGGTTGTAGGGGAAAGTTTTTGATTGCGTGTTTGTATTCGTATGATGCATTTTCGTGGTTCATGATTTTCACGGCTTCTTAATCTTTGTTTGGGGTTTTTTTTGTTTCAGTGTGTTTTGAGGTATACCAGAAAAGATGGACATTGATGAGATGGATATTGAAGAGATCGAGGCTACTGCGGAGATCAATCTATCTGAGCTAGGAGAAAGTTTTCTCCAGAGTTTCTGCAAGAAAGCTGCAACTTCCTTCTTTGATAAGTATGGACTTATAAGTCATCAGCTCAATTCCTACAACTTCTTCATTCAACACGGGCTTCAGGATGTGTTTGAATCCTTTGGTGATATGCTTGTGGAACCGTCGTTTGATGTGATAAAGAAGAAGGATAACGATTGGAGATACACTACAGTAAAAATTCGGAAAAGTCACTGTGGAGAAGCCCACTTTCTTTTCCGATGACAAGGAGCTTGAGTTTCTCCCATGGCATGCCAGGCTTCAGAACATGACATATTCAGCAAGGATCAAAGTCAATGTCCAAGTTGAGGTAACAAAACTTTTGTCGAAATTAAGTAAGCTTGTCTGGATTTGATGAATGATTTCCCTTGCTTGCAAACTCAGAAAGGCTAGTTAACTATCACTTTTTAGTTCAACATTATGCAATATGTCTATGTAGTCGAGAGTGAAATAACACATGGTATGATTTATAAAAGAAAAACATCTTCAGATTTTTATTTATTTAGTTCTTCCCCATTCCCTCACTGTGAATTAATTGAGTGTTTCATGCTTGTGTGCAATGACTCTTGTACTGTCAAACTTTTGTTGATGTTTCTGTTTTGCTGTCCTTGTATCTTATTCTTATAACTGTAGTTTATTGTCTAACTGCCTCTTCATTGTATAAATTCACTAGGTGTTCAAAAAGACTGTTGTTAAAAGCGACAAATTCAAGACGGGACAAGATGAATATGTCGAGAAGAAGATACTGGATGTCAAAAAGCAGGACATTCTAATTGGTAGCATTCCTGTCATGGTGAAATCTGTCCTTTGCAAAACAAGCGAGAAAGGAAAAGAAAACTGCAAAAAGGGGGATTGTGCTTTTGATCAGGGTGGATATTTTGTGATAAAGGGGGCTGAGAAGGTGAGTTAAACCACTTTGGGATCGTTTTGCGTATCCACTATCATGGGATTTCTATTTTGAACTATTTTAGTGTATAGCTTAGTGGAAATTAGTTTTCTTTTTCTTTTATATACTGGAAATAATATTTTCAAGTTGTTATACAGCTTCCTAACGTGATTATATTCTATTTTGCAGGTGTTTATAGCTCAAGAACAGATGTGCACAAAGAGACTGTGGATTTCTAATTCACCATGGACAGTCTCCTTCAGGTCCGAAAACAAAAGAAATAGGTTTATTGTGCGCCTCTCGGAGAATGAGAAAGCAGAAGAGTATAAGAGTAGGGAGAAAGTACTGACAGTGTACTTCTTGTCGACTGAGATTCCAGTCTGGCTCCTCTTCTTTGCGCTGGGTGTTTCGTCAGACAAAGAAGCCATGGATCTAATTGCTTTTGATGGTGATGATGCAAGCATTACCAACAGTCTCATAGCTTCTATCCATGAAGCTGATGCACTTTGTGAAGCTTTTCGCTGTGGGAACAATGCTTTAACTTATGTTGAACAGCAGATCAAAAGCACCAAATTCCCTCCTGCTGAAAGTGTGGATGATTGCCTCCATCTGTATTTGTTTCCCGGCCTCCAAGGTTTGAAGAAGAAAGCCCGATTCCTGGGCTATATGGTGAAGTGCCTTCTGATCTCGTATGCGGGAAAAAGAAAATGCGAAAACAGGGACAGTTTCCGGAATAAGCGAATTGAGCTCGCTGGAGAACTGTTGGAGAGGGAGATAAGGGTGCACCTGGCACATGCTACAAGAAAGATGACCAGGGCGATGCAGAAACACCTCTCAGGCGATGGTGATTTGAAGCCTATTGAGCATTATTTGGATGCTTCCGTTATCACTAATGGGCTTAGTAGAGCCTTTTCCACTGGAGCATGGTCTCATCCTTTCAGGCAGATGGAAAGGGTTTCAGGTGTTGTAGCTAATCTGGGTCGTGCAAATCCATTGCAGACTCTGATTGATCTGAGGAGAACGCGACAGCAAGTCCTATATACCGGCAAGGTTGGAGATGCTAGATATCCGTAAGTGAAATTTCCACCTCCCCTGGTATATTGAAAATATCTCACGTACTTTAACTAACTGGCATGGTCTGCATTTACTCAATTTTACATGTCTTCAGACTGTTTTAAAGATATTTGTATTAACTTATTCAATTTAGTATATGATGGCGATCACTGTTTCTGCAGTCCCTTGTCTGTGTATAATACTGATTTTGTATAGGTGTTACTGTTATTAAGAAACTCTGATACTGTCTTTCTTGTTTCTTTGTCCCTTGGTCAATCTATCTGTTGAATTTTTCCTGATGTCGGTGTTGAGATTATCCATTTTGGTTCATTTTCAATGTGAGCGGTTACCAATTAAATCGTGTTGGGAAACTGAACTATGGCTGCATTGTTTGTAATGTTGGCCACAGGCATCCCTCTCACTGGGGCAGAGTATGCTTTTTGTCAACTCCAGATGGTGAAAATTGTGGTCTTGTGAAGAACATGTCTCTTCTTGGACTTGTTAGCACTCAAAGTTTGGAGTCAGTGGTGGAAACGCTCTTGTATTGTGGAATGGAAGAGCTGATGGATGATACCAGCACACCGTTGTGTGCCAAACATAAAGTTCTTCTATGGAGACTGGGTTGGATTATGTGCAGATTCTGAATCCTTTGTCGCGGAGTTAAAAAGCAGGCGGCGCCAAAGTGAATTACCTCGTCAGGTATCTTCTGTTTCAGCAAATCTCTTGCTATATTTTGATATTCTTGTGTTGCTTGGTATTTGCTTTGAATTTTTCTGCTTCAGAAATGTGTCTATGTCGAATATTATTTATATATATGTATCACAACGTTCTCTACAGATGGAAATCAAGCGAGATAAAGATGACAATGAGGTGAGAATTTTCACTGACGCTGGTAGACTACTCCGACCTCTCTTGGTTGTGGAAAATCTCCACAAGTTGAAGCAAGACAAACCTACACAGTATCCTTTTGAGCATCTTCTTGACCAAGGGATCCTCGAGCTGATCGGGATTGAGGAAGAAGAAGACTGTAATACAGCATGGGGAATCAAACAACTTCTGAAGGATCCAAAGAATTACACGCATTACGAATTGGACCTGTCATTCCTGTTGGGTGTGAGCTGTGCAATTGTCCCATTTGCAAATCATGATCATGGGAAAAGAGTTCTCTACCAGTCCCAGAAGCATTGCCAACAAGCCATTGGATTCTCGTCAACGAACCCTAACATCCGCTGCGATACGCTGTCCCAGCAGCTGTTCTATCCCCAGAAGCCACTTTTCAAGACATTGGCGTCGGAGTGTCTTAAAAATGAAGTGCTGTTTAATGGCCAGAACGCAATTGTTGCTGTGAATGTTCATCTCGGGTACAACCAAGAGGATTCCATTGTGATGAATAAGGCTTCACTGGAACGTGGTATGTTCCGTTCAGAGCAGATTAGAAGCTACAAAGCAGAGGTTGATACCAAAGACTCGGAGAAGAGGAAGAAAATGGATGAGCTTGTTCAGTTTGGAAAGACATACAGCAAAATCGGCAAAGTAGACAGCCTTGAAGATGACGGGTTTCCTTTCATTGGTGCTAACATGAGTACTGGCGATATTGTCATTGGCAGATGCACTGAGTCTGGGGCTGATCACAGTATAAAGCTCAAGCACACTGAGAGAGGAATTGTGCAAAAAGTGGTATTATCATCTAATGATGAACGGAAGAATTTTGCTGCAGTTTCTCTGAGACAGGTAAGTTCCAGATCATACTGAATTGAGCTGTTTTTCAGAGAATGCATTCCTATGATGAATCGAATGTTCCATTGCAGGTTCGTTCGCCATGCCTTGGAGATAAGTTTTCCAGTATGCATGGCCAGAAGGGTGTTTTAGGTTATCTAGAGGAACAGCAGAATTTTCCTTTCACAATCCAAGGCATAGTTCCTGATATTGTGATAAACCCGCACGCTTTCCCTTCTAGGCAAACACCAGGTCAACTCTTGGAGGCTGCTCTCTCCAAAGGAATCGCTAGTCCTATACTAAAGAAGGATGGTAGCTCTGCTGCATGCACCAAATTGACACGGCATGCCACTCCTTTCTCCACTCCGGGTGTCACTGAAATCACCGAGCAGCTTCACAGGTACGTCTTCACATTGTCACTTGGTTTTAGCTCGTAAAACAGAATATTGAATTATATGCTATAACAGATTGACATTTGCATCCTATACAAATAGATGATATCATTAAGGGTAGGAACTAATTATTGATAATATTGCCTGGTTGAAGATGTTTGAACTTGGAGACTTTGGCTACAGAATTTCCAAAAGTTGACATGATATGCAGAATACAAGCAAATTGAGCTAATATACTGCACAAGGCACTAAGCCAGATTTGAGCACCTTACTTGAAAGTTGAAATATTTCATAGTGGATCTTTGTATTGTTTCCTAGGAGTTCTATAAGTGAGCATAAGTTATATGACGGGCAAGTATCTCTGTAAGACTAAAAAACTAAGAAGTTCAATGTTTTCTGGTTGATTAATTTCTTCTATTGTGCCTGAAAATCGTAGAGAATACACTCAAAAGCCATGTACCAGTATATAATTAGTTAGAGGATTGATGCTGTGAGCCTTGTGATTTATGTATAATTCATTTAACCTTTCTTAGATTATTGTTGATTCTTGAGTCCTAATTCATTGCCAATTAGTGAATATTTGTGGTTAGGGCCGGCTTTTCAAAATGGGGAAACGAAAGGGTCTACAATGGTAGATCGGGTGAGATGATGCGTTCTCTGATATTCATGGGCCCAACTTTCTACCAGCGACTTGTCCACATGTCAGAGGACAAAGTCAAGTTCAGGAACACCGGACCAGTCCACCCGCTCACACGCCAGCCAGTCGCAGACAGGAAGAGATTTGGCGGGATAAGATTTGGAGAAATGGAGCGAGACTGCCTAATAGCTCACGGTGCATCAGCTAACCTGCACGAGCGTCTCTTCACTCTAAGTGACTCTTCTCAGATGCACATCTGCAGAAAATGTAAGACCTATGCGAACGTGATTGAGAGGACTCCAAGCAGTGGAAGAAAGATCAGAGGGCCATATTGTAGAGTGTGCGTATCCTCAGACGATGTGGTTAGGGTGTATGTTCCGTATGGAGCTAAGCTTCTGTGTCAGGAGCTGTTTAGCATGGGCATCACTCTCAACTTCGACACCAAGCTCTGCTGATTCCCCCTCTTTATTATGTAAATAGCTTAATGCCTCAAGACCATGTTATGTGTAGTTTGCTTCAAACCCGGTTCTGGTTAATAGTATTGGTTTTGGTTTGGTTGATTCGGTAAGGGTTATCCGAACCGAAGAAATCGTTAAACCAAGCCACTGAACTAACCCGTAAATGTTGCTTTTTGTGAGATTTGACTCTTTTAACCAACCGTTAACCTGTTTATATCTGGTTTTCTATGTTTGGGATTTTATTGCTAAAGTAAATTCCGACTTTTTATTAAAAGGTTTTATAATGATCCGTCCGACCTAATTACTGTTGGATCCGACTCGACCTGACCCGACCCGACCCGTTTGTTCTGATGCCACCATGTTAAATAGAGAGGTGATTCTTCCTTTTGTAACGTAAATGAAAACAATTGTATTGTTCTTTCTTTTTCTTTTTGTGGCAAACACCATCAAACAAGTACTACTACTATATGTTGTAATAAGTTTGATTAATTAATGTAATTGTTGCCCCAGAAAAAAATGTTAATCTAATTTGTTTTTCTATATATTAAGTAATTTTGGTAATCTTTTTTCCTTTTAACAAGAAAGACAAGAGTTTGGGCTAAAGAAAAGACAGACGAATTATTATTATTTTTCCTTAAAAGAACAATTTCTTCATATTCGTGTTCTTTAGGAACATGTGAATCAAAAACTTCATATTTCTCGTATTGTAATGATCGCAAAACATGTTCTTGACTAAATTATAAAATTCTCATAATTTTCTTTAGAACATTAATAAACTATACTAAGATAAATGAGACATGAGAGGAAATGTAATCTTGGCCTTAAAATATGAGTAACAAATTTTTATAGATTATTAATTTATTATAGATCTTTCACAACAATGGGAAATGCAAAGGGTAAAAACTTGGAATAAAAAGGAAAATTAATAATAATTATCAAGAATTATAATCGACTTGATTATGCGAATGATCCAGCTTTTGATCTTTTTCTCCACACGCCTGTGTCACGAGGCAGCCTCACAGGGTAACGCTAGGAAATTTGCAACGGTCATTTCCTGTAACAAGATAGTAATCATTACAAATTACAATCACAAGAGTATTTTAACTTATATCAAGAATTTTATCAGAAAAATAGTTATTCAAGAAATGCCCTTAAAATAAAAAAGGAATTTACGTCTATCTAGAGTTTTCTTGTGAGACAAGTTTAGATAGACTCACCAGGGTTGGTCGTGGTCTCGCGCGCCAAGCCATTGAAGTAGCATTGAGAGCTTTGGTTCCGGAATTGAGCCCAGTATGAGCTAAACGCATAGCTTGCATGCCAAGTAACCGTGACCGGTGCATAGCATTCTCCCCCTGGCGCCAACGCTGCACATGTTGCATTGCTTCTTCCACAAGCAAAGTTTAGTGCCTGCCCTAACTCTGCCTCATCGGCCCCATCAACCGCCACACACCACACGTTGCCCTTGAAGGGAACATTGTTACTTGGTTTAGGCAACGAACCAAAACTGGAAACCGATCTTGTACCGCTGAAATCGATGTCGTAGATCGGTGTACCGTCAGGATTCAAAATTCCCCAGTGCCTCTCTGTTCCTGAACCGGGTTTCTGGTTTTCATTGAATAAGGAGAACAAAAATGTCGGTATGGGTGAACCACGCCTAGCTGGTGTACCGAGTGGTGGGTTAGCAGTCATCTTCTTGATCAAATTCCGGTTATACGTCGCGGCATTGAGAACATTAGCTCCGATTTCATGGATATCACCGGCATTAGGCCACCCGGTTTCGGAGATTGCGAGAGGAATGTTCGGATAACCAAGCTTGGTCATCGCAAAGATAACCGAATCGAGCATCTGGTCTAGAAGATTGGTGTAAACCAAACCGGATTGCGGGTCGGTATAAGTAGAATTCGATTCGAAAAGAGCGAAATCCAAATGGTTATTAACCGGATCAGTAGACCAAGGGAAGTAAGGGTAAACATCAAGAAAGAAGAAAGAGTTTGTCCCATTGAGAAACTTCAACAACGGTAACATCACCGGAACCGCGATATCTTCCCGGAATGTACCACTCGAAGGAGGAAAACTCGATCGAAGAGCGTCCATGGCAAGAGGTGTCCCAACTTTGATGTTATGAATCCCACGAGCTCTAAGAGAGTTCACTACTTTACGCATGGCAGGGACAAGATTGGCCCATATTTGCTTGTCTTGGTCAGAATTGTAGCTGAGGATTTCGTTGCCAACGAGGACGAATCGGATTCGGGTTTGCGGGTAGAAAGGAAGGACATTAGTAGCAACCCAGTTATCAGCAGCGGCTTGATCAGCACCTATTGAAATGATCTGGTTGTTAGGGACCATGATGGTGACGTAAAGATTGGTCTTAGAGAGGAGTTTTAGGGTTTCTGGATCAGCATCGTAGAGCTTGACGTGGCCAGCTTTAATGGTTTTGATGAGGTTGATTGATTGGTAAGGAGAAGGAAGATTGTTGCCTAATTTTCCATAGTTGATTCCAATTCTGCTTGCAAGTGCTAACACTGTTCTGTTGTTTTGGGAACCAATGGCATAGCAACATGAACCTGTAAGAACATAAGAGAGCAAGTTATAAAAAGAAAGATTATGTTTACGTAATCTTTTATGTATATGTATGTAAGGAGACTTACTTGAGAGGATAAGGAGAGTTGAGAGGAACAGAGCAAAAGGAGACATTGTTTTTTGTATTGTTGGAGAAATTGAAATGTTGAGAAGAGAGTGGTGAGTGTGATTTGGGATGAAGAAGAAGAGACATATTGAGGAGTATTTAAGAGGAGATTAAGGAATTGTGTTTAAGGATTAGTATAATATCATTCATGCAAGAAAAGCTTTTAGCTCAAACTATTAATTGTTTCTTGAACTCTCACAGTTCTTTGGTGTTTCTTTTTATATTTGTGTCGTAGATGAAAGAGTAAAGAAGACTGGTTGGTTGGTTGGTTCAAAGGAGACCAAGAACGCTTTGTCAAATTGTTTACTTCAAACTTTTTAGACGTATTGCTAATTATTTTCTTTTCCTTGATTGAATGTTAATATTTTTTGATCATCAACAAAATATTATTTACATGAAAAAGGAAGAAATCTTGATAATTCTTTTTTTACAACATATTGATGTGCATTTGCCAGTTTCGAGTAATATGTAGAGTTCATAACTTCATATCGTCAAATGGTTGCGGTGTTTGGATTGTGGATTGGACCACTTTTTGTTTAACATTCATATAGTTCGTAATGGTCCGAATCAAGAAAAATAAAAACAAAATCCGTTAGGGATCAACTATACACCACTTTTATATAGAAATAAACTTGATTTACAATGGATTGTTATCCTTCTCAAAAATAAAATAGTCTAATCCGCTAATAGTTTAGTCCGCTTTTCTCGCAACATCCATTCAAAGACGTAGATTACTTAATTCATATGATATACTTAAGAATTAATTGGTTTTAAACCCCATTATCAAATTCTTTCGTCTTTCATTTTTGGACTTCATAATTTTGCATTGCCATATTATTTTTACATTTAAATCTAAATTATTAATCTGATGTAATATATTATTATCAAAAAAAGTATAATTAAAGTACAGTATATAATATTAATATTTAATAAAATATATTCCACCGTGGAAAGATATATGAATGATAACGTTACAGTGGTTCATTTATCTGAACCAGAGCTCAAGCGACATGGTCTTCAAACCAATCCACTCCTTCATCGTTATCCTCCTCGTCCTCTCCGCCGGTGACCAAATATCCGCCGGTGATGAGCGGGAGCCGGTTCCTGCGGTATGGCCGGAGCAGTTTCACGCGTTGATGTTGATGAACAAATCTGGATCCTTGGAGATTGTGGATCTTTGGTATGACTGGGTCAATGGACGTAACTTTAACATCATTCAGAAGCAACTTGGTAAACTCACTTATGACCTCGAATGGAACAATGGCACTTCTTTCTACTACACTCTCGACGCTTCTAAAACTTGTCGCACTGTTCACTTTGAGGTTAGTATCCTCTCTATTATCACTTCCTCTGTTTCTTGCTCTTTATGTTAGTCTCTATGAGGATTCATAGTATAATTGACTAAGACATTGATCGAATTTTAAGAAAGAAGAGAACTTAGATTGTGATATTCTTTTAGAGATTTACATTGTGGATTGCATAATGGTCACTCTCTGTGTGAATTATATAATGCATAGTAGTTACATTTTGAGGATAATGTGCTACTATGTCACACATGTGTATGTTTCTGGCTGTTTATATTGATTTTGAGAAAGATTTGTAGTTTCTTTGGGTAGAGAACTACCAAAATTCATCAAATTTTGAAGCAAGAAGAAGACTTTGGGAACCCTGTGAATGTTGTAGTGTTTTTGGCTTTGTTTCGAGTTTGAAATACACCGAAAAGAGACTTGAAGAGTCTATTCTAAGTTTTTGTGGTGGCTTTATTTCATTCAATGGAGAGTATGGCTTAGATCTCAGTGTTTGTTGTAAGCAAATGGACGTTTTCGTGTCGATGTGGGAGCGTAGCATGTAATGCTTCTCTTTCTTCTTTGATTGATGAATCTATGATCATCTGAGTATTAACAATTAACTGAAGTGATGGTCATAATGATAAGTTGCAATGAGACACAACAGGAATCTAAGAAATAAGAATAGTGAGCAGGACTTAGGAATATTTTGGACTACACTTATTTAGAGGTTCCAAGTGACTTTTTGATTGGAAAATTTTGATTGTGCTTATGATAGAAATATAGTTCCACAGCATTGTTTTCAGTGATACACTCAAGTATATGCCTAGGTAAAATTCTACAGTCGATTTTGTAGATACATAAGTGCTTTAGTAAGTGGGAAAAATGTCATTTAAATCATCACTTTGCCATTTGTGGAGGTTTAAAGCATGAACTTTGAGTCTGGTGTTTTTAATCCTCAATTTCTAGTTGACTTTCAATTTAATCTCTAACTTTCGTTGACGAAGCCGATTGAGGCACGTCTTTAACTGGACAAACGGAGGATTAAGACGCTGTTATCTGTCCGTCTAATATATCCGTTAATAAATGTAACGACGTCTTTTAATCAAATGAAAACTCCCAAATTCGATTAAGCTCGAACCCTAGAATACCAAATCGAAATTAGAAATACAAAATCGAAGTTTCTCTCTCGTTTTCTTCTCTAATCTCGATTTCTTCTCAAATCTCGATCTCATCTTTATTCCTCAAGATCTGTTGTCTCGATTCCGATGAGTTCTAGCTCCGAGACATCGATAGTACTCGCTGCCCGTGGAGTGCCTTCAAAGTGTGTTTGTGGGTTAGGTGTAAGGATCTTTACATCGAAAACTCAACACAGCTATCTTGAAGTCTTGATTAGAGAAGAAAACGAGAGAGAATCTTCGATTTTGTATTTCTAATTTCGATTTGGTATTCTAGGGTTCGAGCTTAATCGAATTTGGGGGTTTTCATTTGATTAAATGACATCGTTTAGCTTATTAACGTATATATTAGACGGACAGATAACAGCGTCTTAATCCTCCGTTTGTCCAGTTAAAGACATGCCTCAATCGGCATCGTCAACGAAAGTTAGAGACTAAATTGAAAGTCAACTAGAAATTGAGGATTAAAAGCACCAGACCCAAAATTCATGCTTTAAACCTCCACAAATGGCAAAGTGACGATTTAAATGACATTTTTCCCTTTAGTAAGTTGCTGAGAAATGGATTATTTTTTTACTTGATTCAAGGTTGGAATTTTGAGGCCAAATTGGCTAGATGGAGCAAAGTATTTGGGTCAACGACATGTAAATGGTTTTTTATGCAACGTATGGGAGAAAGTTGAGTTCTTATGGTACTATGAAGATGTTGTCACCAAGAGACCTGTACAATGGATCTTCTATACAGGTGAAGTGATGGATACTATACTATATAATACTATTGAATTATGTGTCATTTTATTTATCTGGCTTGACCAAATACTGAAAGATTATTTCAGGTAGAGAAGCTCATGTGATGACATTTGATGTTGGAGCTGTCCTAGAAGACGAGAAATGGCAGGCTCCTGTCTATTGTTTCCACACTGAGAAGAAAGAAGTACAATGAGTAATAGATTTTGTGTTTCATTATATGTAGAGTTTTGGACATCTTTTGAATATATATCAACCGTTCAATAAGGAGGTCATTTTCGTTTTGTTGTCAAATTCTTGGAGGATAAATAAAAAAGTAGATGTCTTAATCTGTAGGCCTTTGTTGGGCTTTCACTGTTTTTGTAATTATCTTCTTATCTAGGCTAAGAAGGTCTACTAAGCATCTTCTTATTTGGTCCCCAAACGTATCTTACTTGTATTCCAAAACCCATTTGCCCAAATTCTCTAAAATGTAAATTGTGGTTAGGATTGCAATTAAGACTTAAAGAGACCGAAGTTATCATAATACTAAGTTAAAAAGTAGGTCCGACCACATTCATAAGAGAATCTATGTGATGTGATGTCGTGACATTAGCATAATAAGATGATAAATCAGAAAGGGTAGTTTGGTCTTTTTCTTAACGCGTTTCTAAATCCATTACTTCATCCCTAAACACTAGTTAGTGTAATACTGAAGTAAATGCTTTTAAAAATAAGTAACCAATAGTTTAACGTTGTGGATTCATTCATTATGGAGAGGATAAAGTCAAGAGACCAAATTACCAATGCACATGTGATTTGGTTCCTAAAGATATTTAGACAGAACAAAAAGGTTATTAGCCTTTTCTTTTTCACTTTTTGTCTTCTAAACTAATGATGCAGATGTCCATTTCTTATATAAAAAAGTTTTAAAAGTCAATTAAGAAGAAAAGATTAACATATAAACCCCAACATAAAACCTCAGCTTTTAGTAATTAAAAAAAAAAAAAACATAAACCCTACTTTTATTTCTTTTTCAACTTTATGGGAATATAGTAACATGCTTCTTTCTCTTTTTATTCCCTTTTAAAGTGTTTTTCAATTGGATCTTACTTTTGGCATTCTTTTTTTCATCACCCATATGCTTCACCTAAAGTTATAAGACCTGTAGCTGTTGTATCCAAATCAATTTCCAGCCACGATCTATACTCTCCTTTCCCATCACTTATTCTTTTAATACTTTCCCATGCAATTTTTCCTAAATTGATGACAAATATTGTCCAAAAAGATCCGACTCATTATACTGTAATAGTTTCCTAACCAAATAAACTTGACTTCCTTCCATTTGTAATAACTGATCTTGTATATCAAAATTAAAAGGGAAAAAAAATTGTAAACCAAAAAAAAGATTGTGACTCGAACTTATCAACACAACAAACACGCTAATATTATCCAAAATTTGAGCCGTAAAAGGTGGCAATAAGTCTTTGGCTTCTAAAGCACCGCAATTAAACACAGCCTGTAACACTCATCAAATGATTAAGACGTTTACATTTTTTAAGTTATATCCGTTTCACGCGGCAAAACAAACGTAAAAAAAAAAAACAAATAACAAGACTTGTTCACAAATAACAACTATGTGAAGATTCTAAGTTACACCATTTGAGACCGGTAAGAGTTTTCATTTTTTTCTCAAAACCAAGCTACGTAATACAATTTTCCTTAAAAAGAATGAACAAATGCGAAAGCTCAAAGAGGTCAGACGCAAATATATGTGCTTACAGTATATAAATATAATCATCATATCATTAAAAAGAAAGAAAAAAAGCCAAAGCCAGAATGAAAGAAAAAACTTAGTAACATCGATTTGTTCACAGATCGACACAAAGTTTGGTGTCACCGACCATCAGCCGAATCGAAGGTATTAGGAAAGCCAGAGGCCTTCGGAGGAATACTAGACTGTGTCTGAGAATAAGAGAAGTCTCCATGGAACATTGTCGATGACGATGTTCCTTCGTTTTGCCATCTTTGTAGAGCTTGAGGTAAACTCATGTTTACATCGATTCCGAAACTCTCTTCTTCTTCTTGGCATGACGGTTTCCACTTCTCTACAAGTGGACCTAGCACGTTTACTGCATGGCCCATGTCTGGTCTTTGTTGAGGTTCGCGGGCTGTGCAGTGTCCTGCTAGCTCAGCAACTCTGTAAATGCTCTCCATTGTTTCCTCGTCTGCTTCTAAGGTTTGGTCTAGTGCCTTTGGGATGTTTTCTTTGTTGATTAGGATTCTTCTGAACCATGTGACTAGATGAGATCTCTCGTCTGGTAATGTATCATCTAAAGCTTTTCTTCCAGTTAGTATTTCCATAAGAACCACTCCAAATGCATACACATCCACTTTCGTCGTTACTCTTCCAGTAGCTGCAACCATAAGTCATAACATCAATATCCAATGCATCCAATGAACTTATAAGCACATTAAAATGAAGCCGTAATGGCAGAATGTAGTAAGATAACATAGACTAAGCACGTTGTGAAATTAACATGAGTAGAGATAAGAAGAATGAACTTACCAGCGTATTCTGGTGCTAGATAACCGAATGTGCCTGCTAATCTTGTTTCAACAGAGTATTTCCCATCTGGTGCGTTCTTAACCAATCCGAAATCAGCAACCTTGGCTCTCATGTCATCTCCTAGAAGGATATTAGAGGGCTTTAAATCTCGGTGGATGAAGCTTTGCTGAGCCAAGCTATGGAGATATTCCACACCTCTTGCCACGTCTAAAGCAATGCTCACTCTCTGTTTCCAGGTCAGAGGAGAGTATCCGAGTTCACGCCACTCAAACAAATGCTGTCCAAGATTTCCCTGTGGCATGTACTCATAGACAAGCAACCTCTCGTTCCCATTCACACAGTAACCCAATAGGGCGACCAAATGTCTATGCCTGACCTTAGTGAGCACTGCTATCTCGGCCTGAAACTCGCTCATTCCTTTATTACCCATTGCTGCACATTCCATCCTCTTCACAGCAGTCTTTGTTCCATCGTGTAATTCTCCAGCATACACAACACCAAAACCGCCTCTGCCCAATATGTTATCCTCACTGAAATTATTCGTAACCTGACGAAGAACCTCCATTGGAATGGTAACACTTCCACCTTCAAGAAGGAAACGATCACTATTGTCACCACTACTAGGACTGTTCAACGCATTGAAGTTATTAGCTCCATGCCCATTAGCATATCCACCACCACCACTACCACCATTAGACACAGCATCACTAACCAAAATCTTCCCAGCCTTCTCAGGATCCGTCCTATTAAACCTCCCATACTTCCTTTTCATAACAAATTTGTAAACCACAAATCCTAAAATGGCAAGAAAAACTAAAACCGCCACAATCACACCAACAATCACACCAACCTTACTACCACCACCACCAGAAGACCCACCAGAACCACCACTAGCACCACCAGTTCCAGGTGTTGAACCATCTCCAGCATTAGTTCCCAACAACGAGTTCCCCGGTTTGTAATTAAACTTAACCGCAGCCGGAAACTTCGGTATCTCCCCTCTAAGATTGTTATTCGAGACATCAATCAACTGCAAACTAGTCATAAATGTCAACTCCTTAGGGATAACACCAGTCAAATTGTTGTCATTAAGGTAAATACTCTTCAATGAAGTAAGATTCGCAATCGCCGGAGATATAAATCCGGCGAATCCATGTTTCCCAAGATTCAACGTCACAATATTCTTCCCAGCTGAATCACAAGTAACATAAGCCCAACCACTACAAGCATCATCACCTTGCCAAGACTCAGCCAACATTGATGGATATCCCAAACCTCCGGCCACCGCTAAAAGCGTCATCACCTGAGGACTACAGCTTTGTCCAGCTTTAGTTGTACAGAAATCGTTGTGGTCGATTGTTACTTTAACCTCCGATGAAAACAAAGGAAGAGGACCTTGAAATTTATTGTTATCCAGAGAAATGTTCTTCAAACTTGCGAGTGAAAGAAGCGTCGGAGGTACTATTCCGGTTAACTGATTATCCCGAAGCTGTAGATCGAAGAGATTCTCGCTCTTGGAGAGATCTGGAATCGGTCCAAAGAACTGATTCTTGTGAAGCCAAGCTTGTGACAACGACGTCATACTAGATAACACTTCGATCGTTCCTGACATTCCTAAGTCTTGATTGTTGATCCAAAGATTCTGAATCGAAGATTTCGCAAGCGACGGTGGTAAAGCTCCGGTGATGTTGTTGTAAGATAACCGGAGATCTTGTAGAGAAGCGAATGAATCGAAAATGTCAGGCAAAACTCCGACGATATTGGTGTTATCGAGATAAATCTTAGTGAGAGAAATCGAATCAACAAGCTCCGAAGGAAAACTCCAAGCAGTAATGTTGTTATTATCGCTTAAACTCAAGATCTGAAGACTAGTAAGTCCGGCGAAAGCTCCGGTTTCAACTCCGACGAAAAAATTATCATCCATATAGATCTCTTGAAGAGAAGAAAGCTTAGCAAACGAAGGGATTTTACCAGAGAGTTTGTTACGTTGAATAGAAACAGATTTGAGCTCTGAAAGAGTCGAGATCTCAGGTGCGATGAAGCCAGAGAGAGATTTATCAGCGAGACTGATTATATTAACACGACCGGCGTTGGTACATCGTACGCCGGACCATTTGCAGAAATCGGTGGATGTTGTGGTTGACCAATCTGACGGCGGAGGATTGAATGATTTAGCTAAAGCGAGCATTGCTGTTCCGTCGTCAGCGACGGATGTGGTGAAGAAGGTGGTGGTGATGAGGAGGAAGAGAAGGAGGAGAGGCGTTGGAGCCTCCATTGATTAGAGAACACGCGCGGCGCGTAGAGAGGAGGAAGAAGAAGAAGGACGGAGGAGGAAGAAGAAGAAGACGATTGGTAGGGTTTGGTAATTTTTCTGTTTTTGATTTTTGGGAAGAGAGAGAGAAATGATGAATGGAAGCAAGCGAAGAGTGAGGTGTCATTACTTAGCTTTTTCAACAGATCATTACTATTTTGTTCCCGTTCCGTTCAAAACAGAAAATACGCGTTTTTAAAAATACTAATTTTATTTTTTTTGTTTTATGAAAAAAAGATGTAATAATGAATGAATATAAAGGGATTAGGTTTTGATTGTAATAAGTGTTTATGAGATATGGATGATAATAATGGAAAAGGGTTTAATTGATTGAGGTTATTATTGAGGGAAGGTGGTTGTAATAATGGAGATTAATTGGAAATTTGGAATCATAATTTGTGTTTGGTAGTATGGTCGGTAATTAAGAAAGTTTGAAGCATAATTTAAGGAGGTGATAATGGAGAATGATGATTCTGAATGTGGTCGAACCTTGGACCTATTGTGGTGGCTGAGGAGGACCACAAGGTCTATAGTAGTGGGGTGTAGCTTATAGATTGTGTTGACCGGCATAGCTATAGATGCCGCATTCATTGCACTACTTTGCTGCAGCTTTCCACCATGGAAGCTCGCAATTGATACTAACATGCAATGTTGGTGTAACTTGAACCAGAAAATTATACCAAAAAAAAAAATAAACTTGAACCAGAAAATATTGCGAAATATAATTAGAAAAAGTAATAAACCTTACTTTTATCTATTACATTATTTTTGAAATAATATTTAAATCTCTTTTATATTTTTATAAAGAAATTACATATTTGTAGTTTTGTTTAATACTTCTTCTGTTTTAAAATATAGGATGTTTTAAATATTTTTTCCGTTTTAAAATATAGGATGTTTTACATATTTCTATGCAACTTTTAAATACATTTTGATATTTGATGACCATTTATATGATGCAGTCTTTTATATCATTGGTTGAATTTTCAAAAAGTTAAATATTAAATAATTGATTTTAAAACAATATTAATTTCTTATAATATGTGTTTTTAACTTAAACATATTATATTTTAAAACAGAAAGAATATAAAGCTTTACACAATTAAATAATATATCAAATCTAAATTATCTAATAAATCTAAAGATATGAACTGTAAATGGAGCCATGAGTATCAAATACAACCAAAGTAAATTAGCAGGTCGTTTGCAAAAGACAAATGGGTGAGAGTCGGTGAAGCTTAACGTTTTCGTTTACCACCCCTAGTTATTAAAATGGACTAAATACAGTAGACGAATGGAGTTTGCTTAACATATAAAAAAAAAAAAAATTAAGAGTCAATGGCTTCTTATTAAATCTTAAACAAACTCTCAAAAGATATCCCAAAGAGACGTGAACAGTTTCTTTTGACCGAATTTATATTTATATAAAAGAAAAATAACGTATATCATAAAAGATGTGACTGGAATGTAACTCTATTTTATACAACCGACCTACCTAATCATCAATTTTTGAATCGTTTACGATTTGTACATGTTACTAGATTTTATGACACCATAAAGATGATATCAGTACAAAATACTTTTTGGTCAAATAATACAAGTTATTTTTGTTATAAAATCTGGTTTGCAAATGAGTACATTTAAGTTTGCAAAAACATTACACTGAATAGTTATGGGTTTAAGTAAGTTATTATTAAATTTTGCATTAATTTGAATACATGTATAGAAAAACTTACAAAATAATGAAAGATCGAGATATTACTAGAGGCAGAACAAGTTGTGTAGTCCATCTCCCACAAATAATTTTGTTACTGCAACAAATATTTATTTTCATGTAATAATAAAACAAATTTAGACTCTTCTAGTTAATTGATAACACACTTAAGCAAACAATTCGGTGTATAAGAAGGAGTATCATATTTTATATTTTTGGTTTTATGAATGTAAATCAGTTTGCATATATGGTTATAATTTAAAGTAGACAAAGCACTTGAGCATAAAAGCATTCGATGAGCTGTGTGATTTTGTTTTATATTCATTTAATACATCGATGAGCTGTGACAAAATCATTCTTAAGAATCTTGACGGCGCTGCTGGATTTTGGAAGAAAATGGAAAAGAAAATTTCCTAAATCTATGTCTATCTATAAGCGTACCATTGAGATTTTATGTACAGTATCGTTATAGTTACACTTCCCATATATAAAAATGATTAAAATGCATTATCAGCTTTTACATATGTGGACGTGAGAAACTTGGTGATGAATGACGATCAGCATTGCATGTGACAGTCTGTTCTCGTGTCTGCATGTCCTGTAAGAACTTTTCCCTTTTTTGGGTGTCCCAAACCCCAAACTAGTTATTGTTTTGTCGACTGTGGAAGAAGTATTGCCCTATTAAAAAAAAAAAAAAAAAAAAAAAAAAAAAAAAAAGTATTGCCCTATTGATTGATCACAATTTCGTATTATTTTTAGAAGAGATGATTAACATTAGAACCACGTTTACATGACACTACCTTTTTTTTTTTGTCATCTAGATTTTTATTAATAAAACCAGGAAGGATACTCGGAGAATTACAATCTTAAGCCGGCGGAAAACAAGATATCCCCGGAGTCTAAAGCCCTATATAAGGGAAGCAAATTAAACGACTGATACTACAAGGCTACAAACATATAATGATAGAAGATGAAACCCACTACAAGAACTAACCAAAACGAAAAACTCGACAAAATGAGATCATAACCAACCCAACAAGGAATGCATACTTCAAGAGATCCTTTGATAGTACATATCGAAGATGCCCGCGGCCAACCATCAATAATCTAATCCTCCTCTAAGGATGCCAAACTGCCTAAAAGTAATAGAACTCCTATGCTAATCTTCATAATCCGCAAAGACATAACCACACATAGAACCTCACACTTTCTTCCGGATACGGTGACGTCGTAGACAAGGCGACTTTTTACACCTAGATAGAAGCAGAAACATAGGACCAGATCTCGATCAGATCTGAAATGCAGAGACAAGGAGCGAAAAAATCCACACCGGGTAACACCAATCTTGAAGGATCAAGAGCAGCGGAAGATCGAACCAGAGTGAAACAAAGATATCTCCCAAAAACACAAAAGAACTTGTAGGCCTAACAATCAACACGTCGAGCATTCGTTCATTCATCAAAGAGCATAAAATGGGAACCCCATCTTCTATCCAAAACAGCCAGAGACAATATGAAACCTAATCAACTAAAACCGGAAAGACATTGCCTTTTCCACATCCCAGACCGTAGAAGAAGAAGAAAAGCCAAACGACACCATCTCTAAAACTGTCACAGCCAACTCAAGAACCCAACTAAAGCGATTCCGTCTAACCCTAGCAAAACGGCAACGAAGAAAGGCTGGAGAGTCTGCTTACCATACCAGCGAAACGAAGCGAGACAAACGACCACAGATCCGCGACAAGCAACAGGAAACACATGGAGACCAGAGCCTTCGCCGACACTCTCTAAGACAGAGCATCCGATAGATTAACAGATCTCGGAGGCCCAAACAAACAACTCTCATAGGAGAAGCTGACCGCCGGCCACGCCTGCAAGCCTCACCGAGGAAAACCACCGTCACAGCCGAAAGAAACTCTTCACAACCTAACCACTAAAGCTAAAACGAATCGAGAAAATAAAAACAGAAATGAAAGTGAAACTACAAGGGGCCCTCTCACGGTTGCGGCGAGGAGCGCCGGTCACCGGAGAGGGCAATCGCAAATCTGGATTTTGGATGAGCGGCGGCTAGGTCTTGGGAGAGTTTTAAGAAACGAGGGTTTTTTTTCCGATAATGATGAGTTTACATGACACTACCAATTCGACCAAATTAAACAATAAACAGAATAAAAAAACTTTTTTAGTGAATATACATTTTCATAAAGTAAATTACGTTTTAAAAGATTGGTATATAAGATAATCTTTGATATAATATATTTTTAGCAGTCTTCAAATATTTATATTACAAATTCTTCTGTGTAATATATAAGTTGAGAAAATATTACTTTTCGATGAAGTTTTGTTTTTTTCCTTCAGATAGCCAAAGAATCACATATTTAAAATGGAACCATGAAGCAATAAGAAAAAGAATAGGAAAAATGTTTGTCAGCTACGCAAAAGATACTCCATTACATAGTCACACATGCAGACTTTAAAAATGTCTCGTTAGTTACACGAAATATTGACATTACATACGGACATTAATATAGCAAAATATACATTTTCTTTTTGACAATCATTTTTATCACAAAATAATATTTTTTCCTTCTCGGTTGTTCGACGTTGAATACCATAAAAAATAATTTTCAAAAAAAAAATGTGTATTTTTTATATTACCAAAATTTTATAAATAAATATAGGACAAAATAAAATTTATGGACTATTTTGTGGTATATTTAGTTATATTACAAAAATTTGTATATTTTGTTATATTATTTGTGGTATATTTAATTTTGGTATATTTTTAAGTAATTTAAATTATTTTTTATCAAAAATAAATAAATGAATAAAAAGAAAAAAAAATATTTTTTTGAAAATATTTTTGGTCAACGCCGGTCAATATCGGTCAACGCCGGTCAATGCTGGTCAATGCCGGATTCCGGCAACTGAATCACTGGAATTAGATGGTTATGGTGTTTGCAACATGACTTATGTTAGTTCGGGGATGTCCGTATGTAATATCAATACTTCGTGTAGCTAACGAGACATTTTTAAAGTCTGTATGTGTGACTATGTGATGGTGTATCTTTCGTGTAGCTGACAAACATTTTCCCAAAAGAAAAAAAAAAAAAAAGGAACGAAGCCTATATTCATAATGGGCTTATATGGGCCTAGCTCTACTATATCATGTAGGCCTTTTATACTATTTCCCGCACAAAATCCACGCTCAACTCCTTTCCCGCCATCTAGTTTCCCGCCAAACATCCACAAGCTAACCCACTTGCTTTCGCTTCACTCCCGCCAAATAAAAGTTTAACGAAATCTCTCTCTCTCTCTCTCTCTCTCTCTCTCTCTCTCTCTCTCTCTCGCGCGACGAAGGTTTAACAATGGCGGAATCAAATCAGATCTCTCGGAAGAGAATGCGATTCTCGTCTCCATCAGCTACAGAGATCCTCACTCTAAGAAAATCACAGAATCAACGAATCGCAACCGCCGCTCGCGTCCATCAATCACCATCACTCTATGGAAAAAACGATTCGAAAACCATACGTACGTATCCACGAGTCACCATCAAGGATATTCGTCTCCGACGCATCTTCTCTCCAACTCCGATCTCCACCGACTGCGAATGTAACGGCAAAGGTGAAAATCAAACCAAGAGACAATATCATGAGTGTCCTTGCGATTGTGGCAATTCTAACGGTAAATTCTTTGATCTTGGAATCTGTAGATTGATTCATATTACGAATTTTGAATTTGATGGAACAAATTGGATCAATGTTGAATTAGATTATTGAGAAATTTTATGGTTAGATTGATGAATTTGTAATGTTGGTGGATTAGGTAATGTAGAAGGAGATGATTTTCCGCAAACGACGCCACCGGATTCCGAATTGTTAACTAGTGTACCTATCCGTGAAGATATCAATGGATCAGCAGTGAAGAAACGTGATACTAATTTATGTAGCAAATCTGTATGTGTTCTTGTGGCTTTGTTTGATGATACATTTAAGTTTTAATGTTTACTATTTTTTGTTGGTTGCTTGATTTGCTTCTTACTGATTTGTATTTGTACAGGTTCTTCATCCATGTTCTCGAGCTAAGATATTCAAGAACCCTGGTTCTTTCAGCTATAAGAGACTGCTTCCATACTTAAAGCAAGCTGCAGATGGTAATTGTTTGGTTTTTGTGCATTAAAATAGAAATTGACTTGAGGAAGCTGGAAGTTGTTATGCTAAATTGCCAATTGTCTCTACAGATGGAACATCATCAAGCCGGTGCTTAAAGCCTTTAGGCCAGAATTCTCTAAGTTTGTCTTGTAACAAAGAAACTGGGGAAACTGTTGAAGATCTAAGGGAGGAAGTAAGTGAATTGATGACAGCCAAGTGTCAGCTTCCTGAAACCACCAAACCCGTTTCGCAGTCTGTGGACAGGGTTTTCGATAAAGATTCAGCCGGAAGCTTAAGTGGAAACACCAGCCCTTTGAAGAGGGTTAACGCATCCGTCCCCAACAAGAGAGCTGTAAGATTCTATGCTTGCTTCTTCCAGCTTTGTTTAAGGCTACTCAGCTTTCAGCTTCTGTTTTCCTTATTTTGTATCTATATATCCATCATGTGATTCTTTTTGACATGAAACAGGCATGCTCTAAGCGCAAGCTATTTAAGACACCAGGTTCTGTTAATTACAGAAGAATGCTTCCTTATCTCAAAGATATTCAAGAGGATAATCCTTGTAAGCCTATTTCTAGTCTAATACAACTCTTAGTTGGTTATGGTAATAACAATGCATTGGTACAGTTAGTTGCTTAATGTATACTGGTGGCTAGTATCTGCCTGATTATTTTGTGTTTGAAGGGAAATAAACTTGATAGACTGAGATACTGATGGTTCTTTGTCTTTGTTGATTTTTCTAGGCGTGCCTCAAACAATTGATCATCAAAAGAACACAGAAGAGGTTACTCCATCATCGATGTTAATCTCTGAGAGTGAAGGGACACAGGAAGTGGCGACATCAAATGTTACTAGAGAATCAGATACATACTCTAATGAAAAAGATCCCCTTTCTTGTGAACGTCTATCTGTATACCCAGAACAGTCTGATCCTGACAAGGAACAAGAAGCACAAATTAAGCATGTCATCTCAAATACTGAAAATAATTTGGGAACTGAGATCCCATTATCTTCTCCTCTTTTTGGTTCAAGAAGTTCAAGTGAAGTTGCTTCATCTGCATTGCACAACACATTTGTGGACAATTTGGTGGGCGAAGAAAACATGAACGGTGCAGAGATAACAGAAGCAAAAACCAGTGTAGAGCTAGATGCAAATACTTCAGATGCAACAGCTGAACTGATTGACCCTTCTGTTATATTGGCAACTCCTCCCTCCATTTCTCCCTCGAAAGGAATTCTGAAAAGAAGTATGAGAGGATGTAGAGGGATATGCTCTTGTTTGAACTGCTCCTCCTTCCGTCTAAACGCAGAAAGAGCATTTGAATTCTCAAGAAATCAGTTACAAGATACTGAAGTAATGGTTCTGGATCTAGTTGGAGAAATATCTCATCTCAGGGATATGTTGGAGAAATATAATTCAGCAGATCACAGTGAATCCTACAAAAGTCAGGTCAGTGCAGAACAATCTTCATAACAGTTCTTTTAGTTTTAGAGTGACACCAAATTGGTTTAGTATCTTCACTAAAGTAACTAAGATGAGAAGAAATATGCTCAACTAGACCATTTTTTGTCCTGTAGCCACAAGTTTATCTTGGATGTTTAAATGAATCTGAATCTTGGTGTTTAAACAGGCTGGAGAAGCTGCAAAGAGAGCTTGTGAGGCTGCAGAGCTTGCAAAAAGCCGTCTCCATCAGATGAGCGATGATTATCAAGTTCATTGCAGAATCCCCGTGAGTTATCCATAATCAAATTGTATATTTTGAAAAGGATCATTCTGCTTTATGTTAAGACAACAATCTAGTTGAAGGCAGTTAGTTAAACACACATGATACTCACTCTCCATGTTTTTGTACACAGAACGAACAACGAGCAAGAGTGAAATTTGCTCATTACGTACACGAGAAGACGATGAACCTACCAAATTGATCACTAGATCACCCTGAAGCAACTAGGATGGATACTTTTTGATGTCATTATCTGTCTCCAGATTATCCAGTTTCATGCTTTTTTAATTTTGAAAAGTGAAAAGGTATTACTAGCTGTCTTTTTCTTTTGTCACCACCATCTTAAGCAGAGTAGCAGCATATAGATCAAATTGCCTTTATACATATAGTCCATGTGACCATATTTATTACACTTTTTTTCCTCTTTTCAAGAAAACATCTTGTTCTATGTACATACTCAAAGACTATAAAAGCAAACCTCCTGTGATCTCTTAGCAAGTTGCAGTTAACAACAATATGGGTGTTCTTTATTCCACATCTTTCCCTTTGATTAGAAGTGTCAAAGCGGGTTAACCTGCTTCGCTGTTCTATAAACATCGATTCTAATCCGTTTCTCGCGTTACTTTAGTTTATTGTTCGTAGTGGACTAACTCGCAAAGACCATTTATCATTTGGTATCTAAAACTATAGCTCAAACCATTGGACTCTTGCTTCATATTGACACCACTACATGTGATCTTTGTACCTTTTAATCTATATTGGTTTTTATAGATGAAGTCATGTTCATGTTTGTGCCCAACACCATTGTACCCTCCCGCCTAATTGACACCTCTACACGTGATCTTTGTACCTTTTAATTTGGATTGTTTTTTAAGATCAAGTCACGTTGGTCAAGTGTTCATACTTAAAATTATTGTTTGTTTTTGCGTCTGCGAGTTAAGAATCTACCGCTTCTTTTCTTTAATCTCTTTAGGACACTATAGTATAGTGAGTCCCGTGACACATTTATTGACTTGTAGAATGAATATTGCATTGGAATAAGCAAAGCCAATGAAGAAAATTCAAATCAATTTATTAAATAAAAACAACAAAGAGAATTTCATTTGCACTAAACAACAACATAGAGAGAATCATTGGTTTTAGACTCTAGACTTCCTACACTCTGGTGGGAATCCTTGAGGAAACCTTTTCAAATCAGAACAATAATCATAAATCATAAAATATTTTTGAACCCATCTCAATCTTCTTCTCCCATAAGCATTAAGCTCATTAGCCACTTGAGACTCACCATTAGTAAAAGAACTCTTAAACTTAGGATCACAGAAAGATGACCCTGAAGAAACAGTACAAGCTGCAGCGTTAAAGCCTCTGTAGTAAGCTGTGAAAGGAGCTTTAGACCAATCTGTCTTAACCAAACCACCTCTTGTAGCCCAATCATCTGCATTCCATAAACTCGAGTAAATCTTCATTGGTTGGTTCTTGGGAAACGGAACACCAAGTTTCTCTGCGTTGTTGAATACTCTAATTGGAACACTATCTACCATAAATCTGTAAACAAAACAAAATTGTTAGAGACAAAAAAAGACACATGATCTTGAGATGTTATTGATTGGTTCATTACATGATGTGTTGTGGTCTCCAAACAAGAGAATAAGTGTGGAAGTTCTTGGTTGGGTCGAACCAGAGATAAAACTGTTGTTCTCTGTTTCCTTTGCCTTGTGCAAAGACATTAGTGTGAAGAACATAAGGCTTCCCTGTTTCATTACCAAGAAACTCAAAATCTATCTCGTCATGTGTTGGTCCTTCCGATGACAACTGCAAAACATATTTTTCATTAGTTTTTATTACAAAAAAAAAAGCAAAAAGAATGAATCTTTCTTTTGAGAGCTTACGTAGTAGGCAGTGACGGTTCCGGCAGAGTTTCCGGCGACGAGTTTAAGTTGCATGTCGATTCTTCCGAATAAATATTCTTTCTTGGACTTAAAACCCGACCCGGAAACCCGGTCTAGTGACAGTGACAACATCTTGCCTCCACTAAAGATTTTGCCTCTGTGTTCACCCCAAGTTAAGTCAAACTCTTCGTTGAAGCTACCGGAGAATGCTGTTCCGACCATTGTTACGACTAGAAGAGTCATTAACACGGTAAGGTTCAAGATTCGACCCATTGGGGGTTGGATGATATAAATGAAAGTTAAGGGGTTTTATTTTAGAAATTTATGAAGGAAAATGGGTTATAATTTGTTTGTTCGAGGAGATGTGAATTGTGATGTGAGATGGGTTTTCAAAGAGGATAGGGTATTTATAGGTGAAGCAGCATCCTTGGGAAGCCAACTACAGTTGTCTAGTTCATAATTTTTTATTCTATTTTTTTTAACTTTTTTATAAAATATAATTGCTTCTATTGTTGAGTATATAGATTATGGATTTATGATTTATAATGTATTATCTTTAAACCACGATTAAAAAAGAAGAAAAACATGAATTGTTGATTAGAGTTAATGACCACTTTTCCCTTTTATAATCACATGTAGATTGTAGAAACTCTATCTAAGATTAGATATTTAGATGATCATTAATGATGCATGTAAATCGAAAAATTAATCTTAAATTAAAGGACAACCCTAATATGTGAAGAGGGTATAGTCGTATAGAGAAAATGTATTTTTTGTGCGTGTAATTAATTGTGTTGTGAATGAAAACAAAATTTATATAATCTTGCTCGTTATAAAGAGATTATTTACATAAATGTTTGATCTATATGACTGTAAAATAATTTCAAATTTTAAAATGGAGGAAAAATGAAAGCTGTCGAAAAGAAAGAAACAAAAGAAGAAAAGAGTGCGGGACAGAAGAGAGTGATCTATCAGTGAATAGCTGTTGCCAGCTCTTTTTTCTTCTCCCATCAAAACTGGAGCCTGCCTTTTATCTTTCTTCAGATTTAAATAAAGTTCTATTTTCTATTTTAATTAAAAATTTATTGATCAATTTGTGCTTTGTGAGTGACAAAAGATAAGTGTTATTGCTAGCAAACTAACGAGACATATCTGGATTGGGTATTGTGGATGTGTAAGTTTTGCGGATTATAGTCGAGATTTCTTGTTAAAATCTCTAGAAAAATGATGAAAGTTAAACTAGATCTCTAAATTTTATAAATGTGATTAAAATAAAGAGATTATCTTCAAGCAAACAAACAAAATATTATATTCAAGCTAAGTTGAGGTTTCTGTATCTATTTAACGAATACATGTGACAGAATTATTATTTTGTTGGATCAAAGCATTTGGATTTTTGGACTTAACAAGATATACGTACGAAAAGGAGAAAACTTTGTGGTTTAATGAAAAAGAAAGCTTCGTAGTAATTTTAAGAAATCACAATTTTACATTTTATTTTATTTTCAGGTACAATACATGAATACAATAGCTAGATGAATGCACTTGTGACCTCTCTCGATCATACCTGTTTCATGTCACGTGTTTCTCTCTATTAGTAATGGGCCTAACTCAACACCCAAAAGCTAGCTCAAGGGAGGAGGATTGCCTCATACTATATATATTGCCCAAGGATTTTATTTCTTTCCGATGTGGGACTCTAACACACCCCCCTCACGCTCAGGACTGGACATCTGAAGCGTGAAGTTTGTGGGACTGGACATCCACGGATGGTAGCCCACTTTCGAGAAAGTTGAACCTGGCTCTGATACCATATTAGTAATGGGCCTAACTCAACACCCAAAAGTGTAGTAGCCCACTATCGAGAATGTTGAACCTGTCTCTGATACCATATTAGTAATGGGCCTAACTCAACACCCAAAAGCTAGCTCAAGGGAGGAGGATTGCCTCATACTATATATATTGCCCAAGGATTTTATTTCTTTCCGATGTGGGACTCTAACACTCTCCATTAATTCTCACCTCTTTTATTGAATAGTACGTTGTACATGCTAAAATTCAAATTCTAAACGAAACGCAACTCTTCCAAAACACGAGACTCTAATCCATAAATAGAGGTTTTGAAGCGATTTTTGTTTTCAGGTTCGATCAAACATAAAATGGTTTTATTGGGATATGAAATTCTTCCTTTTTATTAGCTTTATAATATTGGTTTGGAGAGACTTGTATAGCAAGTTATTAGCTCCACTCATTTATCTACCCTATTTAACTTTCTATATAATAAAGCTTATGATTCTGAAGCTTCTTCGACGCGAGAAGGAGGTTTTAAATTACAAAAAAAAACATTTTGGTGGGATGTATATAGTCACTCATGCGATAGACACTAACGTAATGATATACTAAGTACTAACATAAAATAAACAGCATTACCTCAGTAAATTCCACTACTTTATAATCTTCACATTTGGTTCTACTTCTTTGGCATCTTAAAAACAATAATATTAATAGATCAAATCTCAACAAATATGATTCAGAAATGTTGAATAAAAACAATTTAGATCGAGACATAAGTTTTGATTAGTTATGCGATGTGGGTGGATGACAAGTGCTTAATCTTTCTTAATCTGTCGAAAATATTTTTAATATACAAACGAGATGCTGCTGTTACTAATCCATCGTAAGAAGATTACAAATCCTTCACCTTTTAGGGAATATACTCATTATAGTAATCAGTAATTATTCCTCTTTAAACAAAATTAACTACAAGTGGGCACCTTTAGAGCTCACAATAATGAATTATTAGTTTTCATCTCATTATTACTCACTAGTATTAGTTAGCATTTTCTCTTCTTTTTTGTGCACATGATCATGAAAAATAAAAACACTGATAAATTTATCAGAAACTTAGTAGGCTAATTATTAATGCATATATTCATACTAATACACACTTAATCCTTTCTTTTTTTCTGTGCACATGATGAAAAATAAAATCTAGTGATAAAATTGTCAGACAATTACTGTATATATACAAGTTAAAATCTAAGGAAAAATAATATTAGCCCTGTTTAAGATAATGGTCGATTGTTTATTATATTATCTGTGTAGAGAGAATATAACGAAAAGAGTTGTAATTTTTGTGTGTAAATTGTGAATTTGTAATCCATCTCTTAGATAATCGTTTATAAAAATTTCTAAATATAACTCGAGGGGAACTTACAGAAATGTAATCCTAGGGAAAAGTAATACTCGTAACCTACTTTTTCATATAAAACAGAACAGGAAGGAATTTAAATGTAATGAGAATATGAAAGAAAAAATTTAACCTTAGTTTCAATAAATATATACTACTAAATCTTTGATTATTCTTTTATGGTTTTAAAATCATATATTGTTGCATGGAGAGGAACTAAAAGTAGAACTAGGTATATAGAGCATTATAGTGGATTCTGGACTATAACCCGAATGAAAAGAATATTTGATATCTATGTTAACTGATTTAGACACTTGATTAAAAGCTAAACTATATATGAAAAATCAGACATGAAGCAGTACATAAACACGTGAAATTGAAAACATGGGCTTGCAGATTATATCCGACATTAGTCAATACAAATCTTGATTTTATTTTGTGTTTAATTATATCTTCTTACTAATTAATTTGTGTACACAATTCAAAGTTCTATGTAGATCTTATCTGCTCTAGTGCGATCTAGCGAGGGAAGATACAACAAAAAAATATAATTTTTAATTGAAAAAAAGGAAAATTATAAGAAGACTAGGATATTTAGCCTAATAATTTATATTAATCCTAGAGTAGATTTGTGTGGAATTCTTACATATCAACTGTATATACATTTTCAGCATGAAACTGTGTACTTAGATAATGTGGCAATATATATATATATATATATATATATATATATTATACAACAATTAAAATAATTTATATGTGATGCATATGTATATATATATATATATGTAAGTGAAGATAAACTTATTATATCTCTATAGGTGAATGTTAACATTTACATAATGAGAATTTCTATTATTCAAATTATTACAAATAAATGAAATATATATTTTGCTTTCAAAACTTTTTATATAATTCTAATGGAAATACACTGTATATATGTGTCCTTACACTTTTTTATTTTATATACTTCCAATGCAGTATATGTATTCATTTTATACCATGTCACCTATTGAAACCAATAAATGGAGTTATACATTGAGTTATAGTTTGGCTTTCCTCCCAAAAGATATTAAATAAGGAATGGTTATGGTTTGTTGTGGTCCAAAACATCCATTTCAAAAAATAAATAAATTTTGTTTGACTATTAAGTGAAAATGTCACGAGTTCAATTCAATGCCATACTCTTTAAAAAACTTATATTAAGTATGCATGCAGATTCATGGAATTTGGAATCGACACATCATCATATGTCTTCCTTAGCCATGATTTCAAATTATGCTACTCGTCGCACACCCATATCATGTACACATATATGAGAACACTACTTCTTATTCTGTTATTCATTTTTTTTACCGTAGTTTCTATGTCGAAATTTCCGACAATTGTAAGAACCGCGTATAGATATACTAAATCATAAGAAAATTTTCTATATCACTTCGTCTTTACATATATATACGTGCAATAGATTTAAATATCTGGTTAATTGCTTACATATAAGGAGAGATCCGTGGAAGCAATCAACAATGTGTTGTTATTTGGCTAGGTTGACATTTACATTTCACTGATTTTAACAGTAATTTTTTGTGACCCCAACCTCTGCCTCATTCTGATTAACTCTCTCCGTTCTCACTAGCCAATTAACATTCTGATAATATATAGCATTTATATGAGCCTCGATACTTAGGAGTGTTAGGTTGCTTAAGGGTAGATCACAATATCAACATAGTATCATGTACGTTTCATCATTGAGTGGGTGTGTTTCGAACCCTTTTCTGATGGGTAAATTATAATAATGATAATTGCACCATCTTTTGGCTTCTCATTTTTAAAGCTTTAGAATCTATTCCATTCAATGCATTATTTACCCAAAATGAGGATTAGTACTTAAATATTATAATAGTGCACTCAATAATTGTGTGTTTTAAAGAAAAATTATGACTTCTGGCGCTTTCCAGTATACTTGTAAACATTGTTTTTTCAAATATTGATTAAAAAATAATTTCGAAGTGATGGGAAAATTCTCTTCATTACGAAGTTCAAAATTAATTTTGTTGCTATCACATTTTTATGGCAATAATCATCTATTGATATTCATACCTTTGGATACCAAAAGTATGAATTCTTTGGAAAAAATATAGATCTATATTTTTAAAAAGGGGTTTGTTTCTTAATCCCCAAGTTAGTCGTATACTCGTATTAATTATTTGTGGTGGAATAAAGATTAAAGTCCCAAACTTTAAAGAGGAACAAATGGGGTTATAGAATATATCCTTATCGATAAAATAAAAATAAAAATACTTGGAAAAGCTTTCACGCAGACAAATGCCCATTTATTGAAACCTCAAGAAATATATATGGTCGAAATTTATCAAACGGACATGGAAAATTTACTAGATTAATAACGATGTTGTAAAAAATTGGTCCAAATTACTTGATAACCAAAAATCGAAATATGCATCGACTACATGTATAAGATCAGATGTTGCTTAAACTATGATTTGTTCAAATTATATTTACATCATACAACGGTCTAAAATCTTCAAATTGGCCGATCTTTAAATACCAAACTTTTCACGTGACTACACGGTCTACACAAACTAATTCACGGACGTATTCACTACTATACCGCTAGGATAAAACAATTATCTCTTTTGAATATTAACTCAAATTTATTTACTTTGATTAGAATACAAATAATTTAACTTGAAAAATAACAAAACGAAAAAGATTGTCATATCATTATCAAAAGTTTCGTCCCTTGTATCTTATTTATTGTCAATGATATATTTTGGTTTTCGGAGCTATTCGTTGCAAGGAAGCCTAGAGTAACATCTACACTCATGGTAGTCCTTCTTACGCCATCTGATGTTATTACAGTCGCAACGAGCATATCTTCTTATCTCACGCGTAGCCATTTGTCCTTGGCACAATTGGTTTCCATTAGCGCCACAAGTTCCAGCGCGTATTGATTGAAAAATTTACATATAGAAACCACATCTTGTGCTTTCACCTCTATTATTTGCAAGCAACCACAAAAAAAAAAAGAAGTTTAATTGTCGATAAAGATTTTAGCTAAACGATTTGATGATAGAAAGTTTTTAACTTTTTTTTTCACTCAGCTTTTTCGATAATAATGAATCAAATTTGAAAAAAAAAAAAATTATAAATTACCTTTGACATGATTCAAAACGAGAAACATAGAAACAGATAAGGCTATAAGCGAAGTAGCAGATCTCATTATTCCAAAAAGTAATAAATGGTTGTTGTTTGTGTTAATTGCAGGAACTTCTTGTTTTTCTTACTCTGGTAATAACTTATACTCTTTTTTTTTGTTACTCAAATAGACATAGTCAATACACTAAAAATAGACATATATATATGATAAATAAGCGAACACCATATATGTGAAAGATAAATGTTTGGCCAAGTCAAAGAGATAGATTAGATCGTTTGTTTATTTTTAGAAAGAAAAAAATACACATTTTCGTTTTGCTGAACTAATTAAGGATAGGAAATTCTAGTTGAACATGGCAACATGCAATATAAATAAAATAGAAAATCGATTGTACACAGGAAAATCCATTCTTTAATCCAATGATAACCAATCATAAATGAGATTTCTTTCCTTGCATATATTTTTCTTTTCTTTCAAAATATTTTATACAGTTTGCTAAACTTTTACAGTATGATTTATTTAATATTTTTTTTTTTGAAACTGATTATGGTAAATAACATTTAATTAAGTATATTCTCGCTTTTGTAAGACATCAAATGTTTTTAATATAACATGGATTATGTTCTAATTATATTAAGCCTGTGTTTGATTTAACTTTGTTAAAAAAAAAACTACAAGAAACTAAGCTATTTGTGAGGGAGGATGTTAAGCAAATCTCTCACAAATGGCATATAGCAAGCGAACTACGTGAGGAAAAATAATAAGTGAGATTTGCAAAATATTTAGATCAAGGAAAACACATCTTTTAATGATAAAGACGTAGAAAAAAATATGCAAATGATATCATTATTACGTCTTTATAAAAATAATCCTAGATTGATTTATATTTCTGTTATACCTTAAGATGAAACTTTAGGAATTTAATTCAACATATTCATGATGTATACATAATACATCATACTCACCAGTACGTACATGTTCCTATGAAGGTTTCTCAAACGCCATCTTCAATAACTAAAAGGTATATAATTATTATCACTAGAGCTTTATGACATACATTGTTAAATAAATGCCACAAAGAGTAGGAAGAGACGATGATAGTGTGAGTCTTTTCTATCCCTTAATATTATATCTCAAAATAACTAAACAAACTGAACAAGGAAAAAGATCGACTGAAGCATAAACAAACTAGATTTTGAATATATATTAGAACACAAAAATAACTATATTTGAAAAGAGAAACAAATCAAAATAGACTTACATACATATTGTCCGACATATATAACTATTAAAAACTCTGGTCCCTTATCTCTTATTTTTGGCAAATATATTTTGGTTTGAACCTATTGATTGCAAGGAAGCTTCATATAACATGTGCAGCGATGGTGTTTTTGCTTTCGCCATATGGTGTCTTGACAATCGCAACGCTTATATTTTACATTACGATCAGCCATTTCGCGGTTACAAAACATGCATGTTTCCGTCAGCAGGACATTTTCCAGGATTTTCATAACCACTTATTTTACAAAGTGGAACCGATCGTTGTGCCTTCACTTCGACTGCTTTCAAGCAACCACCAAAGGAAAACAAAAACAAAATGTAGATAAATATTTTAGCTAGAAAATCCAGAAAATTTTTAGCTAAACAATTCATAACCAAAAGATTTCGATTTATTTACAACACCATAATTGTTAATAGGAACCATAATTCACGAATAAATAATAAAAATCAAAAGTTATTACGTACCTTTAAAAATGTTCAAAACAAAAAACATGAGAATGCACAAAACTACAAAGGAAGTAACACACCTCATGACTCCAAAAATTAATCAAAAGTCGTTTATGTGACTTGCAAAAACTTAATTTTTTAAAAAATTTAAAAAGTGAATATACTTTTTTATCGGTACTCATACTATATATACTCAACACATTATAAAAAGATTTCAATATTAAATTATAAAAATAAACTAGGACAAAGTCAACTAGAGAGATAAAAGTGGTAGTTTAGTTTTGGATTTTTTTTTTTTTTTAATTTTTAATATACTAATTGAGAATATTTAAAAATCTATTGTTGAACTTATCAATCTATAAAAAGAATCGTTTGTAGCGAAAACAATATATGGCTTGTAGGAAAAGCTATAAAGGCGCATACACGGGAAGTTAAAATGAGTGTTTTTCTTTTCATTGAAAATATATGTGGTAGACAAATTTTACGTTAATTACTTAGATGTTGTAAGACAACAATTTCTGTTTAACATGACATGAATTGAATAAATATATATAAATGGAATCTATGTTATGTTCCACTTATAAGGCTTTCATTTTTTTTAATTCATATGTGCATTTAAACTCAAATATTCTAAACATTGTAGAAATTATAGTATTCTGGTTGAGGTAAAAAGGATGATACTTTAGAATTCAATTCGAAAACGGATATATACATGACACAACCAATATCGTAAAAATAATCCTATACATATATGAAAACGGATATTTCTGTTCTCTATCTTAAGATGAAACTTCAGGAAGTTAATTCAACTCATTCATGATATTCATTACGTACATGACGTCCTATTAGGTGTTTTAAACACCATCTTCTGCAACTACAAAGTATATAATTATATAAAAGGTTAAACAATCACTAGAGTTTAATTTTCTGAAACAACTTGTTAAATAAACGTAATAAAGAATGAGTAAGATGATAACACACCATAAGTATTTTTACTGTTTAATTTATAACTCAAATAACAAAGAAAAACTGAACAAGAAAAAGATTGATTGAATAAAGGAATTACTTCGCAAAGCCTTTCAAAAACCCTCCCAGAATTTATTAAATTAAAAACAGAAAAATTACACTGGAATCATTCTTGGTCGCGTAGATCCAAGAACGTCATCCCTTACAATCGAATCAACTTCCAGAGGCGTAGAATCATAACTATTCATTATATTCAAGTAACTAAATTTGAAAATAAAAGAAATAACCAAATGGATTGATATATATTGTCAATCATATAACATACAAATGCTCACGGTCCTTATCTCTTATTTTGAGAAAGTGCATTTTGGTATTTGAACTATTCGTTGCAAGGGAGTCTCAGATAACATGTGCATTGATAGTGGTCTTTCCCTCGCCATTTAATAGTGTTTTGACAGTCGCAACGCTTAAATGTCCTATCAGGCGACGCCAATTGGCGATTACACAAGTTGCTTGCATCATGGATAGTTATGGGACATTTTCCAGGGGTTAGAAGACCAGTCATTTTACACAGAGGTTTCCGTCGTTGTGCTTTCACATCTACTGTTTCCAAACAACCACAAATAAATATTTAACTAAACTATACTGATAAACAAAGAATTTCTTAATCAATATTTGCATATCCTAAAATAAAGATTATAAGACAAATTAAACTAATATATTACCTTTAACATTGTTTAACACAAGGAACATGAGAATACACAAAACTACAAACGATGTAGCACACCTCATGACTCCAAAATTTAATCAAAAGTCGTTTTCTATGCAGAAACCTTTCGTATTTTTGAGATGAAATAAGTAAATATTTTTTTATCTGAAACTCATGATTATATATAATTGATAAAACACTAAAAATAGATGTTCATATTAAACTAGAATAAATAAATTTCAAATATGAAAAAATTATTGGTCAACAGAATAGACAAAATCGTAGTTTATTTTTGGAAAAAGATGAATTTCATTACTTTAATATACGAATTGCGGCTGATATTTAGGAATTTCCTATTGAACATGTCAATGTATACAAAAAAATCGATTGTTAGTTTGTTACCAACTACCCAATTTTAGCCATTACAGATATGTGTCAATTGGCTACAAAACATTTCTAAATGATGTCAAGAAAAATAATCCCTAGACACAACCACTAATACTTTGTTGGTAATGATCCACAGATGACAATGAATTTTTTAGTGACTAAACTGCTACGGATAGCCACTACAAATGTGTGTGACCAGTTACTAGCTACATTTCTGTTTCAATCTCGTTCGCTGGTTTTTTCAAAAAAAAAAAAATCTCGTTCGCTGGTTTTGGAACATGTTTTATGGGTGTTTTGCACTTCCGTTTATTACTAAAAAACAGACTGTCCAAGTTCCCGGTTCATGGTCGAACCGGATCAACTGACTGATCTGGTCCGATTTTTAAATCATTGTTTATTGAAGTGTAGACTTCTTTTTTTAAAAAAGGTTGTTATCCAAACTCATAGATTGGCTTATTATCAAATACTGCTGATGATTCTAATTTTGTCAGCAACATGATCGGAGAGCCGGTTTTGCATTGGGATTGTGGTATTTCTCTTTCTGATAAGTTTAGTCTCTCTATGAGTACCTCTTAAGAATCTCGACTTCATCTTTCGAATAACATTGCTAATATGTTATGATGTTCTTGACAAGGATCTTGATTGTGTATATAGTTCTCGTGAAGATCAACGTCTAGGATATCATGTAATTTTTAACGGATTCCAAAATAATGTCGTGGAAACAAATTTTAACCGTAAATCTGTAAAATTGAAGGCTCAAACCCTTGAACTTTAGAAACAATAATGAATTATACTAAACAACATTACCGATTCACTAAAATGATTTTTGATGAAAAAAAAAACAATTATATCAACTAAAATCACCATGGCTGCCCACCCTCACCGTCACCATTATCGTCGCGGCCACTGCCATCGTCATCGCCATGGCCACATGCCGTTATTATCGCATCCACGACCCATTGATTTTGTTAAACTGGAGACTTATATATGGAAAAGAAGCCCTTGCAAGCCATCACATCCTTAAACTAAAGAATGTCTAACCAAATACAATTGGTTTATATATATTTTATGGTTTGAAAGTATATAATCTATATAAATAAGTTAAGTGCATGACTGTTTTCAATAATCATTAATTCTATACGATAATTAAATAAATAAATGGAATAAACATTCATTATGAGATGAGAAAATGCATCAAGTTTTTTCATCTTCCAATATTGAAAAGATTGGTTAAGATACTCAAACTACTTTTATATATGAATTTATAATTTATTTATTATTATTAAAATAAAAGAATTTACGAAATACATTGACATAAATTATGTCTTCCGTATCAACACCAAAATTATAACTCCTCTATCAATTATTAATAAATAGTAGATTTTGGTTTTTGGTAGTAGAAAACTTAGCAAGGATTAGGACGGCCACCTAAACATACGCACGAATAAACGTCCTTGTTTCCTACCCTGGTGTCCTTACACGGCCTGCAACGAGAACCATTCTTTTGGTTCTCTGGAAAATATGTAGTCCTTTTAAATTCATCCAAACAAAACTGAACTTTGTTAGCCCCACATTTTCCAGGGTTCATCAGCTTATATGGACAATTTCTTCTTACTTCCCTTCCTAAAATCAATCAATTAAAAACAACAATATACGTTTTGGTTAAACAATTGATGATACAAAAATATTAAAAGCTTTATTTTAAACACCATCTTGTATGATTGTGATAATCAAATGTTTTCGTATCTAGCGGATGACGTATAAAATTCTAAATGAATATAATATATTACCTTTAACATTGTTCGTAACGAGCAACATAAGTAAACATAAAAGTATAGACAAAGTAATAGATCTCATGATTCAAAATTTTAATAAAAGCGTGTGTGTCTTATTTGCAGAGATTAGTTATCTTTCTTAATATATATACTCAACAAACACTTAAAATAGAGTTTTTTTTTTTTTTTTTTTCTCAGAAAGTGATCAGTTTATAGATTACCAAACCATGTTTCAAATATTACAACGTGAGTATAACTCACCAGCTTAAAACTAAAAATAGATAAGAAATGTGGTAGGACCAAGTCAACGAGATAGAAAAGAATCGGATGTTATTTTTGGATGAATTATTCTTGATTACTAGTTTATTTTCAAATTTATTTGCATGTGTAATATAAATTAAAAAAATTGAATACAGAGAAAATATGTGGTTAGTAGAAAAAGCTGTTTTTAATCAAATTTAAATCAATTAAAAATGAGATTCTTTTTTTTTTTTTTTTTCTCATATTTAACTTTATTTTTATTTCAAGAAAGTGTTTTGATTATATTTATTGCAAGTATTTTTATATTTATGAAAGCAAAACGTTTCTCGAACATTTAAAGGAAGCACTAATCTTGTAACTTTGAAGTTTCCATGGATGCATCCGAAAAAAATAGTATCCAAAACTATAATATAGACCAACGTGTATAGTATAAATCATGGAAATACGAGAGATGATTAATGGATGCGGTTATGAACAATTTTTACATGGACCTTGATAGGTAAATCTAGTCAATCACAATTTTTCAAAAGTTGACGCATAGAGTTTCTCACTTTCCCACTTTTAGGTCATGGATGCAAATTAACAAAAATTTAACGTAAATGTTAAACATGACAGTAATATTAGTACAAGCTACTCTTACGTTTTCTAGTACTAATAGTGAACTTAAGCGAAGATGTCACTAAGAAAAACTCATAAGATGACATAGAGAAAGCATCGATTGGAGAAGGATGTTAATGGAGGTAACATCATCAACGCTATTTCCAACTCTCTGTGTTCATCAAGTTGTTGAATGATGAGATAGGAATATGAAAAGGGAGAAGCATTGTGTTGAGGTTGAGGTTTTACGATGCTCTAAGGATTTCACCTACTCCTGGGTTTGCTCAGTTGAAACCTCAAAACCAGGCGGTATAAAGACAATGTCGTCCCAGTTTGACGTCGTGCTTTCCTGCAATTTCGCCCAGGAAACAGATTCAGCAAAACCAATCATTCTTAAAGAAAAATGCATTACAGAACGTCCGTGGTGTTTTCTCTTTGATTGTTTACCTTCATTCCCTTGACAATATCTTCAAAAACTGCAACCTTTGTGATACAAAATCATGTATTTTCATATGAGATGAGAAAATTATGGATTTACAAGAAACAGGGAGATTAAAGTTAAAGAAAACCTGAATATCGCCTGGTTTCAGAGCAGGGTTAAGTCGGTTCTGTTGGCTGGACGCTCGTATTAGGGATTTTTCCAAGTCCTCCTGTCAGAATTCAACCCAGATTCAAGCTTGCTGATCATGTAACCAGTGTATGGACAAAGGTGAACTGGGTCTTGTAAGTTTAACTAACCTTTCTGAAGAAAACAGGGCGATAACTCATGTTTTCACTTCGTAGAATCAAGCTCTTTGACTGAGATAACACAAGTCAGATTGTTAAGAAAACTGGATATTGTGAAAGAAAACATGTCTTGGACTCGAACATTCATAGGAAGCAATACTCTTGAACTTTTGCAATTTCCATAGATGATAGAGTAAAAACGAAAAAGCTAGTCACAACCATTAAAAGCATTGGTCCTTTTGCACATTACCTGGAAAACTGGAACACCATGGAAGTCATCATCATCAATACCAGCTGTTTTCCTTTCCTGTATACACATAGACGAGATATAATTTACTTGCACTGTGTTTAACCAAATGCTACAGTGTTTTCAGAAAAATAACGGTACATCTAGGAAGAATTACATCTATAAGACCTATACCCTGCAAAGAAACCCGACCACTTTGAGTAAAAATGTACCAAAACTGAATGCAATTAGTTACTCCTAAAGAAATCCAACTGATGACGCAAAAAAGGTTGTCAATATCAATATTAACCACAACATGGAATTTCCTAGCCAGAAGAGTGATGGCATGACACAAATCCAAAGAGTCAACTGAAGTCCTAAATCTTACATCTTCATGGTCTACGACTCTACGCCTAGGTTTTACCGCACATTCTGTGAATTTCATGTCAGATAATATCAGAAATGTGATATAGAGGAAGAGTCTGAATGTCCGATGATAACGAGAAATGATTCTCTATATTTACTCACTCTCTGAATCCGCGTACAGAAAACAACTGAGAACAAACCAAATCAAAGCACCAATGATGGAAGCCTAGGCTGAATTCCAAAGCACCCTAAACTCTCCTAAACCCAAACCAATGCTACACCAATCCAGACTCCCTTCTCATTCTCCCCCAACTTCCTTCTAATCAGTTACCTCTCTAGCTAACTGACTATCTATAGTCGCTGAAACAGAGCTACGATTCACTAAAGTAATTAAAAAGCTCCTGCACTAAACTAACACAAAGTCTCCTCATTGATGAATGATGACAGTCATGTTCAGCAGCTATAACGTCTATGGTGACAAATAGCAAAGCTTTTGAGTATCCAAAGATATATTCTATGGACAAATCAACTCACCTTCAAGGCATTTTTCACTTGAGTAGACTCAGGAATCAACCTAAATGCCACACCATTAACTTTTAACTGGAACACCTGCAACAACAACAACAACAACAACAACACACACAAATCAAAACCAGTAAACAAAACACAAATCGAGCTAATTGAGTTATTGATTCCTTATACCTTGCTAAGAGCAAGAGCTACAACTTTTGAACCTTCTTTCCTCATACGAGGATCCATACTCTTCATCTGTTTAAGAAGCGTCTCTGCATCTTCCTCTTTACAAAACAATAAACCCAGAGATTTCCCAGAAGAAGTCCCTGAAACCAACATAAACTCCTCATTCGAATTACTCAACGCGTAAACAGGAACTCCCGCCAATCTCTCCTCAATAGCATCCGCCGTTAATCCTTTCCCGCTTCCGCGAATCGGAGCCGTCACCTGAGTCCTCGCACCACCACCGCCACCGACGTCGTCAGAAATTCTCGCCCAAACTGGTGCCTTACCAGAATTGAAACGAGAGATTCTAGAATCTAAAGCTTGTTTAGCTTGATCACGCAACGAATTGAGAGCAGAGAAGATATTAGGGTTGTTGTTCTTGTTGGCGTTGAAGAGAGGATTAAGGGTTTGTGAAACGTTGTGGAGTAGATTGGAGCATTGAGATTGGAGATTCGAGAAGGATTGTTGTATGTTGAGATGGTTTTGATTTTTCGATGGTGGGAAAATGTTTGAATCCATTATTTTCTCGGGAAAATGATTTGCTTGAGAACTGAGAAAAATAGTGAGGGTTTTTGCAAGGCTTTGCGAAGAAGAAGAGACTGGGGAAAAAGATTTGATCTCTTCGCTTGAAGAAGAAAACAATTATAATTGTTTTTGTAAAGAAGCCCTCTAAGTATCCAATTTTTACAAATTTATCCTCTATGTTTTAAATTAGGTTGATTTTTTTTCCGTTAGTTGACATCGTTAAACTTATCAGAATTTGATTTTAGTTTCGTTTAATAAACCTAAAACCGAGTTAATAGGATCATAATTTATCCCCAAAAAACCCGATAAGATAATCATAACCCGATAAATAACTCTTCTAAATGAAAAAAAAAATTGAATTCTAGTTTTAAATTTACGATTTTAGATCAACTAAAAATACCAAAAATTAAGAAAAACTTATTTGTTATGAAAGTTAAATAAAGAAACTACACGTAAAAACCTGTGGTAAAATCTTTTGTAAATTATTAATTGAATATATCGTCACTGATTAATTTAACTTTTCTATTTCTATATAAACGATCGAATCGATCGCTTGAAACTTACCTCCTTACATAACAATTGTAACTTCAGTAAAAAAAATAAAAATACATTTTTCTCTTGTTCCTTTCTATTTCTGTATTCCAATCTTTTTACACATATAAAAATTTCTTTATTATTCATATTTATATCTATCATAAATTAAACTCATACTTAAAACAATATTATATCATAATCCTGCAGTTTTAGAATATGGAGGGGTTAACTTGCAAATCATAAATAGTTTAAGGTTCTAAAAAACAAACAGACAATTATCCCCTGTTGCTAGACACATGTATAATTACGGACATCATCCAGTTAAACCCCTCCACGTGTATAATCGAAGACTTTTCCTCTTTAGCACCTGTGAGCTGACAAATGCCACGTCACCTTCATCTCCAGTCTCTCACTTTCTTATCCAAAAACCATTACCATTACTCACCTTCAATCTCCGCGGCTTTTTGCTCTGCCGCGTAATAATGGCGGTTTTTGGTGGCGCTACTACATTGGGTTCTGTTTCTTTCTCTTCTCATCTCTTCGACCAACAATCTTGTTTCCTCTCTTGCCCACTTAGACTCCTCCCTTCCTCATCATCCTCTTCTTCTTCTTCCAATAGAAACTCTCTCCTCTGCATCGTCAAATCAGTCTCAAGCTCCGCCACCGCGGATACAGATAGAAACTCCGATCAATCACCCCCTTCCTCCGTCCTCTCCGCCTCCAATTCTCTTCTTCGAGACACCTCCGATGATGCTGCTGGACCAAGCGATTGGAAAACGGCAAAGGCTTATTGCAAAAGTGGTGATACATTTGAAGGTGAAGTTCAAGGCTTTAATGGTGGAGGCTTACTTATTCGTTTTCATTCTCTTGTGGGTTTTCTTCCTTATCCACAATTAAGTCCTTCACGTTCTTGTAAAGGTATTAAAGTCCTTAAAGTTTCAATTTTTACAATGATGGTTTGTGTTTTTCTTACTGTTGTGTTGTGTTCTGTGAAGAGCCTCAGAAAAGTATTCATGAAATAGCTAAGACTTTGGTTGGTTCTAAACTTCCTGTGAAGGTAAAGTTTTCTCTTTTGCATTGTTTTGTGATTTCTCTAATGTGTGTATGATTGAGGTAAATCTTTATATTAGGTTGTTCAAGCTGATGAGGAAAATAGAAAGTTGATTTTATCTGAGAAGTTAGCATTATGGCCAAAGTATTCACAAAATGTTAGTGTTGGGGATGTGTTTACTGGAAGAGTAGGTTCTGTTGAGGACTATGGTGCCTTTATCCACTTGCGTTTCGATGATGGTATATTTGCTTTTATCGAAATTTCTGCTTCTTATTGTTCTGAGCTTGTGACATTGATGTAAATATGTGGTGTTTGTATAGGTCTTTATCATCTTACTGGACTAGTGCATGTCTCTGAAGTATCGTGGGATTACGTTCAAGATGTTAGGGATGTACTACGCGATGGTGATGAGGTTCGGGTTATAGTCACGAATATTGACAAGTGAGTTTCTTTTCATTGGTTACTAAATTTGATGAGTCACAATATAGTTTTTAATCAAGAGTTGTGTTGCAATGCAGAGAGAAATCAAGGATTACACTATCCATCAAACAACTTGAAGATGATCCTCTTCTGGAAACATTAGACAAAGTGATTTTGAAGGTAAAACAATGTGGATGAATGTGTTTCTGTCTTTTGTTTGTCTTAGTGATTTATGTAATAGATCATTGAATATTGTTACAGGACAGCTCTAGTGGATCTCCTTCGCTAAGCTCGAACAATGGGGATACAATTGAACCTCTTCCAGGGCTAGAAACAATACTTGAAGAACTTTTAAAGGAAGATGGGTATATTTACAAAACAAATTTCTTTACTATTGCAATCCTAATCAGCTCTTCATCTGCTTATTACAAGAGAACTTTGACTAGGATCACCTCTAGTCTACTAGACTGTGTTGTTCGTTCTATGGATGTCCATATTGGCTCACTCCTAAATTTTTTGCAATTGAATATAAACACATCAATAGCTATTGCTGGCTGATACTTTGTGTGAACGCATGATGAGTTGGATATTGTTAATTTGCATTAGTTTGATTCTATGTTTCAGGCATAACCATCCAAAGATGGAAGAACATTCTGGTTCCAATGTGTAAACTAAATCTTGATCAATCCTCCTATTCATTTCTACATTGCAGAATAGAAGCTGTGAAAATCAACCGGCAAGGATTTGAGAAAAGAGTGGTTTCACAAGACCTACAACTTTGGCTCTCAAATGTGAGTTCTGTTTCTTTTCCCCAATATTCCCACAAGAATAAACTATGCTAAATACTCATTCGGTATTCCTATTTAACGCAGACACCGCCTTCTGATGGGAAGTTTGTTCTTCTTGCCCGTGCTGGAAGACAGGTAAATCTCAGAAGCTATTCATTTATGGCCATAGATAGAGAGATGTTCTTGATTTAATTTAAGTAAAATGTTAACATTTCAGGTGCAAGAGATACACTTGACAACGTCGCTCGAACAAGGAGGAATCAAGAAAGCGCTTCAGCATGTACTAGAACGCGTCCCCTAAGAACCCGAAGCGATTTGCGACTCAGCCACTCACTATCTTCAGCTCTATGCATCTCAACTCTTGCCAATGTAACAACTCTCAAGTGGAGCAGACTACTTCAGAAACATGCTTAAAAGTAAAAAAAATGCAAATTCATTTGTATCATCATTATATGTCACACATAACACAAACCTATGAAAATATATGTGTATACTCAAATGTTTTGGTTTCACATAATAAACTTTCATTAACATAAACAACTCAGAGTAACAAATAATACATCAAATTCAAGATCTAAAACCTTGTCAAGTCAATAATTGACTTTTGTGACACCATGTTTTGGTAAGTACTATCTTTTAAAATAGTCTCTTAACCAAGAATAATCAAGCATGATAATTAAAATCAATTTTATCCTTTGTTTGTTTTCTCTCCCACAACTTTCCTGTCTCTGCCATGCACATGCTCTCTCTTTCTTCTTCTCACTCCAATGATTACAGAGGCCAGCCTAAGCAGCCTACCCACTTTCACCATCTAAATGTTCCCACATTAACATAAACACACGTAAGATTCTTCTCCTTTTGAACTGTAAAATTCACTCTTTTTTAATTTCTTAAATTTTCTTATCATTACTTTCTCTTTTTTTTTTTGTCATTTTCTCTTAAACCTTCTTCATCTTCTTCCTTTTCTCTGATCAGTAAAAAAAGTCACCGCTTCTTCTTCTCTTTCCTCTTTCCCCTAATTGATCAATCATGCTTCTTCATTTCTAGTTCTCTTCCTGACTCATTTCCCTCATTAGATCTTCTTCTTCACTAAACCCATAATTGGAAAAAGCTTTTTTTGCTTACATTTCAGTTAAAAATCATCACTTGTTTGAAGAAACACATATAAAGTTTGTCTTTTTACTTCTAAATTTTGCTGTCTTCACTCAATTTCAATCTTGTTTTCTGAATCAAATTCTGGGTTTTCTTCAGAATTCCCAGAGAAGTTGTTGAAATTTTCACTTTTTTTTTGTGTTTCATCAAAGTCTAGTCTTTTAGATGAACATGGACAAGGAAACAGAGCAAACCCTAAATTACTTACCTTTGGGTCAGAGCGATCCCTTTGGCAATGGCAGTGAAGGAACTATCGGAGATTTCCTTGGAAGATACTGCAACAACCCTCAAGAGATTTCACCGTTAACTCTACAATCTTTCTCTATGAATTCTCAGATCTCTGAGAATTTCCCAATTTCCGGTGGAATCAGATTCCCTCCGTATCCAGGTCAATTTGGATCCGATCGAGAATTTGGGGTTCTTGGGTCACAACCAACAACGCAAGAGAGTAACAAAAGCTCGTTGTTGGATCCAGATTCAGTTTCGGATCGAGTTCACACCACGAAATCTAACTCTAGGAAGAGGAAATCGATTCCTAGTGGTAATGGCAAGGAGTCTCCAGCTTCTTCCTCTCTTACAGCTTCCAATTCAAAGGTTTTGATTCATTATCTCTCTTGCTCTAATTCAAAAATGTAGACTTTAAGAAACTGTAGCGATATGTGTAAGAAAGTTTGTGTTTTGTGGAGACTTTATCTATAGACCTTTTAGTGTGTTTCTTGATGTTCTTGGTTTTGGGAATTATGATTAGGTTTCAGGAGAGAATGGTGGATCTAAAGGTGGGAAGAGAAGTAAGCAAGATGAGGCTGGGAATAGTAAAAACGGAGTAGAGAAGTGCGATAGTAAAGGCGACAATAAGGACGATGCTAAGCCTCCTGAGGCGCCTAAAGATTATATTCATGTTAGAGCTAGAAGGGGTCAAGCAACTGATAGCCATAGTCTTGCCGAAAGAGTACTAAACACCTTCGAAAACCGACTTGTTTTTTTGTTGATTTGGGGGTATTTTGATGTTTATGATGTTGATGTTTTTTCTGGTGTGTGTTTGGTATCAGGCAAGACGAGAAAAGATCAGCGAGAGAATGACGTTGCTTCAGGATCTGGTTCCTGGTTGCAACCGGATTACAGGGAAAGCGGTCATGCTTGACGAAATTATAAATTATGTGCAGTCCTTGCAGAGACAAGTTGAGGTAAGAACGTGTATTTCATAAATGTTATTGAAATTGGAGTTTGAATATATCTTATATCTGAAACTCGCGGTTTGTTTCTTCAGTTCTTGTCCATGAAGCTGGCTACTGTAAATCCAAGGATGGAGTTCAATGCTAATGCTGCTTTATCCACAGAGGTAAACTTCTGGTTTTGAACCTGCGATATATCATGTTACTATGATCGAATGTTCTGTATCTATACTGTGTGTGTCTGTATGTATAGATGATTCAACCGGGGGAGTCGTTAACGCAGTCTCTTTACGCAATGGCTTGCTCAGAGCAAAGACTTCCATCAGCATACTATTCCCTTGGCAAGAACATGCCCAGATTCTCAGACACACAATTCCCCTCAAACGATGGATTTGTTCAAGCTGAGGTAATTAGTAGCTAATGTCGAATTCTAGAAACTCGTTTGAGTGTATCGTAAACTCAAATCCTTTTGTGTTTGTGATTCATTTCAGACACCGGGATTCTGGGAAAATAATGACCTGCAAAGCATTGTTCAAATGGGTTTTGGAGATATCCAGCAACAGAGCAACAACAACAACTGTAAGAAAAATTAGAATCAAAGTCGAAACTATAGAACATCTCTTATGTTGTTAAGTCTTTTATCTTTATATTTCAGGTTCTGAGCCAACGCTTCAGATGAAGCTTGAACCATAGCTCTGATCAAAGATGTTTACGGTTATTATCTCTGTTGTACATACAGAAACCAAGTAGTGATGAGTAACGGAGTGAAACATATTGGAATTTTAATGTTTACTATCGTTTCTTCTTTGCTTGTGCATCTGTTGATTTCTTCTCAACCTAAAACAAAAACAAGAAAACTTCATATTAAGTATGTAAAAAAATGACAAGAACTTTTCTCTGTACTATTTACTATTGTTATGTATTATGATTGCTCAGCTTGTAAGAAACTGGAATAAATTTGTTCACTTCTTTATATTCTTTTCACATTTTTTTACCAAACAAGATTTTAGATTTCTCTTTGGATTCGTAGACGTAACCAATTGACATTTGCATGAGAAAAGACTCATGGTGTGTCGAATCTTGTTGCATTTTAAGGTACCTTAAGCCAAGTTCCAGAAGAAAAAGTTCATTATTAGTCGAAAAAGATAAGAATGAACCATGAACTTAAAATTAGAGTCTTAATCATCTCGTTATCTCCTTTTGCCTCCCACCTCCCCCAGCATATTGCTCATTGATTCCCTTCAAGTAAGACAAGTCTCGACATGTTTTCATCATATCGAAGCTTCTCCAATTCGCTTTCTTGTTCCCTTTCCCCTCCTTCAGGTTGCTTGATTTCCACTAAACTTGGAACATAAGAGCACAAATCTGGCTTACATTCTTGGTCTCCAAAATCTCCAACGAGATCCAATGCCCTCAAGTATCCAGCCTCTCCAATGACAATAACTCTGTGGCGATTACGGTCATCAAAACCAAAGGCGACTTTCTTCTCCTCGTCAATGAAGAAACTTCCACTTATAAATGGAACATAACTATCAAATCCAGCTGTTGCCACTCTCAAGAACTTGCTCCACAACACCTCTTCAGTCTCAATCTTAGTCGTAATCCACAAGTCAAGCTCATATGGATTTGATTCATCGTGCTGAAGTATAACCGCAAGCTTCTCTTCTCTAACACAAGACAAAGTCGTATAATCATGATGCCCACCACTAAACGGCAGAGGCAGAAGCGGACCAAATCTCTCACTTGTAAAATCGAAACAGATTAAGCAATCGGCCAAGACTTCATCTACATCTACGTTCCTTTCAGCAGCACAAAAGTAAGTGTTTCCCTTAAGAGAAACGCCAGGGTTACAAAATGCTATACGCCAATGTGGAGTGACATCAAGAGTCGTCCATAAATCAGAGTCAAAATCGTAGATTTCATACCAAAAGAACTGCTTTTCGGGTGCCTTGTAGTAATAATCTATAAACCTCAAGAACTTGTAGCTACGACAAGATTTGTTCTTATCCTCGTATCCAAGAGCGTAAGAGAACCTATCCCATCCGTTTGGACGATGGAGATATCTTGGTTTGATCCACCTTGTTTGCCCCAAATACGGATTCCGAACCACAAACCTAGAATCTTTTTTCAATATGCATAGCAATAAGCCCTCGCAGTGAAAGACCTTTGATATCTTGACTTGTTCGTCAAGGTAAGTAAGTTTGCCTTTATGCTCTATAGATGGATCTCCATTAAGAACGATGCTCGTTAAATAAAGATTGTAACCCATCAACATGATCATATGAAACTCACCTTCCTTTGCTGCGGCTTGACCAATGTGCATCTTCCTAAAGCTCTGACTTTTGGATAAAGTGTTCCACTTTTTGCAAGTTAATCGTACTGTTCTCATAGATTTCAAAGGAACCCTAGAGAGAATCTCCTCTACTAAATCCCTTGGAAGATTAGAGATCATCGTCTTCGTCATTTTTTCAATTAGCAACAAGGGCCAAAAAAATCTTTCTTCGTTTCCTCTGCTTGATTGCAGTTTAAGGAAGAAGGCACATAAACCCTAAATGAAGCTGGGCCAATCGTGGGCTTCAGAAACTAGTCGGGCTTTTTGTGATTGCATGACAGAATTTGATCAATATCTTTATAGGAGATGGATGAGTACAAAAAATGTAAATTGTAAAATGAGTGTATGTAACACATAAGAAAAAGTGAAAAACAATGAAAAAAAGCACAAGTTGGAGAATGGTGCAAGCTTTAGATCAGATCAGACCCCCAACATGTCTCTTTTTCCTATACAAATTACAGAAAAAAATAATGTTGTAGAAACGAAATTATATGTTGCATTGGTCATACCCGAGAGCCAAAAAGGGTTCGGCGAGCTTTGACAATACATTAAAGTTTAAATCCTAAACCCTCTTCGTCTTTATTTGTAAAATGGTTTGAACTCTTCTTTACATTTGTGATTGAACTTGCAGATGGTTCATCATATTTGGCCATAACATCGCCAATATAGATGCTTATAGAGATTCTACGGAATTGTGTGATTAATTATGCATTGTGTTGTTGGTTAAGAGCGCTGATTTCGATTATCCACATTACACAAACATCTTAAAAAAAAAAGATACACTTGGAATAGTGTTTTTTGATATACTTATTATCCTTATCCCGTCCTTTACCCAGTGTCCACCGATATATATTTTTGGTGCCCTAAACAAAACTTAAAAAACGTATTTTTTTCATATATTATAAAAAACCATAAACAATAGTAATATTTTTTTCACATTTAAGTTTCGTATAACATTTCCAAATTCCAAAAACAGTTGAAAAGTCCACAAAATTTTTAAAATCACATTAAATTAGAATTTTAGTATTAAAGAGAATAAATAGTTTGTATCTAATTAAAAGCCTACAATTGTTTTTAAAAAAAAATCATACAAAACTATTTATAGTAAAAAAATCATAATATTTATAGTAACAAGCTTTTAATTAAAAATATCTTCAAGTTTTGAGATTTGAAGGCTTCAGTAACTTGTCTTCTAAGCGAGAACTACCTTTACCCGCTACTACTAATCTTCTACCTTTGATAAACATACCTAGATTTAACGCTCACACGTTTCTCGGATGTCTCCATACTATTCTAATCGCATTTTATCTTTATGTTTTGCTATAATTTTTAGTTTGGGCATAAATACCCGTTACTTGCTTCGTACCTGTTACTTGCCCCGTACTCGCCTTGTAAAAATAAGTATTGTAGTTGGCAAGGTTGGTAACAAATATTACAAATTTATTACTTGCAAGTACAAATCAAGTATCAAGTATCAAGTCTTAATAAAAATTACATTACCCGGCTTGTTTGACCCGTTACTTGCTTTGATATAAAAGAAGCTATAATAGCTTATTTGAATTTACATATTTATAATTTATAACTTACGAAAACCAAAATCGAAAAGATAAAAAAGACTGGAACTTTGAATATTTTGAAATTTGTATTGTATGAAATTGTTTATATATTCAAATATTTTAGTTCAAGTAGTAAGTATTTTACAAGTAACAAACCAGATCAAGTTATTTAGCAAATAACGAAGCGGGCCAATTTACTTGCAAGTAATCAGATTTTGGACGAAAGCAAATACTTGCTTCGGATGAGAAACAAGTATCAAGTCAAAAAATCAGTTACTTGAACGGATCAAGACGGATCACAAGTACTCGAAAATTACCAAGTGCTTGCTTGCCTTCATCTTCACTATTTGAATAAAGTATTTATGCGGATTACCTCATATATTTTTCATTTCTTGTTTTTCCACCTTTTTCTGTTTTTAAGATTTGAATTTTTTTTAACGTCAATTAAGATTTAATATCTTTATCAAGTAATTTATAAACTAAATTTGTTTTTACAGGATTAACAAAATAAATATGTGACAAAATTAAATGTAGTGGATCTGGGAATATTGATCAAACTATCTCATCAAAAGCCCGACTAGATTTTCAAGCCCACGTTTGGTCTCTAGCTTTATTTAGGGCTTATTCTTCTTCTTCAACCGCAATAAATCAGAGGAAACGAAAACAAGGGTTTTTGATTGCAGATTGAAACAATTAACCTCCAAACGGCAGAGCTTTAGGAAGATGGACATTGGTCAAGCCTTACCCGCAGCAAAGGAAGGTGAGTCTCAGATGATCGTGATGATGGGTAACAATCTTTATTTAACGAGCATTACTCTCAATGGAGAACCATCTATTGAGCATATAGACAAACTTACTTGCCTTGACGAACAAGCCAAGATATCACAGGTCTTTGACTGCGAGGGCTTATTGTTATGCATATTGAAAGAAGATTCTAGGTTTGTGGTTCTGAATCCGTATTTGGGGCAAACAAGGTGGATCGAACCAAGATATTCCCATCGTCCAAGCGGATGGGATAGGTTTAGTTACGCTCTCGGATATGTGAATAAGGAATCTTGTCGTGGCTACAAGTTATTGAGGTTTATAGATTATTTCTACAATGTACCCGAAAAGCAGTTCTTTTGGTATGAAATCTACGATTTTGACTCTGATTTATGGACGACTCTTGATGTCACTCCACATTGGCGTATAACATTTTGTAACCGTGGCGTTTCTCTTAAGGGAAACACTTACTTTTGTGCTGCTGAAAGGAACGTAGATGTAGAAGAAGTCTTGGCCAATAGCTTAATCTGTTTCGATTTTACAAGTGAGAGATTTGGTCCGCTTCTGCCTCTGCCGTGTAGTGGTGGGTATCATGACTATACGACTTTGTCTTGTGTTCGAGAAGAGAAACTTGCGCTTTTACTTCAGCACGATGAATCAAATCTATATGAGCTTGACTTATGGATTACGACTAAGCTTGAGACTGAAGAGGTGTTGTGGAGCAAGTTCTTGAGAGTGGCAACAGCTGGATTTGATAGTTATGTTCCATTTATAGGTGGAAGTTTCTTCATTGACGAGGAGAAGAAAGTCGCCATTGGTTTTGATGACGGGAATAATCGCCACAAAATTAACATCATTGGAGAGGCTGGATACTTGAGGGCATTGGTTCTCGTTGGAGATTTTGGAGACCAAGAATGTAAGACAGATCTGTGCTCTTATGTTCCAAGTTTAGTGGAAATCAAGCAACCTGAAGTAGGGGAAAGGAAACAAGAAAGCGATTTGGAAAAGCTTCGATATGATGAAAGCATGTCGAGACTTGTCTTACTTGAAGCGAATCAATGAGCAACATGCATGAGGAGATAACAAGATGATTAAGACCTAATTTACAATGCATAATGTATGTCTTTCATTTACTCATTCTTTTCTTTGAACAAGATTACTCTATTATCATAAAATCTGGTTTCTTCCCACCTTGTATGCATTTATGAAGAAGATTAATAACAAAACATAGTAACAATGAAATCTATTTCTTTATGTACAACAAATAGATATATTGGCTGAAATCATTTAAGTGATTCAGAAGCTCAATAATATATGATTT